TCTTGCTATCTTGGTTACCAGTATTGCTATTAATGTTTTACTGTTGAGAAAATGGTGACGAATAGTATTACGTATGTCCGAGGCTCGCCAAGCCCAGCTTCGTCGGCAATTCGACGAGCCCTAAACCCCAAACCTTACATGCTGAACCCTTAACCCCAGACCCTTGCCGTTGCATGGATGGTGTAAACAGGCCAGCTGAACGAACGCACGCACAGCGGCACCGAATCATCCGAGACGATCCGATCGACAGTCCGCATGACGCCCACTTGCATGACGCATCGCAGAAAGACCCGAGTCTAAGTGTCACATTTCCTTCGCATGTTCACTAAACCCCCAAACCTGAACCCTGACCCTAAACCTTAGACACCCTGGACTCTAAGTTTAAACTCTAAGCCATTTTAGAAACCCTAAACCCCTGAGCTCAGTAAGAAGCCTCCTGAGGCGTGAACCTAAAGTGGTGCGTCTTCGACGGCAAGGAGCACATCGTCGATCCGGAGGCTTCGCGTGATCTTCCTAGATATGGGAGCTTCCGAAAATTGGGGCCAGGGGTATCTTATTTGGGGGTCCTTTTGATAAGGATCCTACTATTTAGGGAGTATGCATCTATACTGAAGGATATTGTTACTATTATCGTTGTTCCTATTCTCTTAATTAGTCGTATTATCTTGATTGTCTTTGCTCTGGCTTGGGGTTGGGATTGGTTTTTTGGGTCTAGGGTTGGGTTAAATTCGGGGTTGGGGCTTGTGGTTTAGTGCGAAGTCGCTTTGAGTTTCTATTCCCTGAACACCCTTGACCTTTTGCTTGTGCAACTTTCGTGTTTAGCTTGACCCGTGGAACCTGCATAGCAGCATTTCTAGCCCTTATCGTAGCCCTTGAAACCCCTTGGAATCCTAACGGGCTTTCGTGGGTCGAGGGTCTCGATCTCGGGCTGATGTGGTGGTTGAGGCTTAGGTCTTTATGTTCTCCTTGGGCTTGGTGCTCTTCGGGAATGTGGCAGGTGGCACTTTGGGATCGTGTTTCCCTTTCCTGAACGATCCTCAGGAGAAGTAGCTGTGCAGTTTTGAATCCAAGAGGCGTTCACAGAGGTAGTCGAGCCGACTCAGGCAGCAAGCCCTAAACCCTAAAGTCCCTACAGCCAAAACCCTAAACTCATGCAGCTGCACTCCTACAGGACACTGGCAAAGCTGTTTTGTGAATGGCTCCTGTCGTCCAGCAGTTAATGTGGAGCCCTTGATCAGGGGTCCTTCGTCGCATCTAGTGAGGATGTTATTTAGGACCTGCGTTGATGTAGGGGCCTAAAGAATTACCTATACTATTGTGGGGGTTCCTGATTATAATTACAGTATAGTGGGCCCCAAAACCCCTAGTCTAGTTCGTCAGGCCCCATATCAAGATCTGCATGATGCATCTCATTTTCTCAAATTCCCCCTTGTCTGCCGAAACTCGAGGCTCCAATTCCCACCAGGAATGTTGCTGAAAAAGGAGAGATTTCAATTTCAGAGCTAAACCCTAAACCCTAAACCCTAAACCCCTAAACCCTAAACCCCTAAACCCTAAACCCCTAAACCCCTAAACCCTAAACCCCTAAACCCTAAACCGTCTCCTGTCCCCAGCATCTCCGGCAGTAGTTTGGCAGGTTCGCTTCGTCGAGCTGCATGCCATGGTGAGACCAGTAGAAGGGGGTTTAGGGTTTAGGGTTTAGGGTTTAGGGTTCGCCAGCGTAGCGGCGCCCTTAGCAATTCCGCTTTTGAGCATTTTGAAGCAATTTTTTTCCCTAGGGCGCCCCTAATCCCTAAAGTTTTGGTTCATTCCATTTTCGCGTTTCAGTGTTTTGCCTAGCCCAGCCCCAGCCCCAGACCCCAGCCCCCAGCCAGCCCAACCCCCCAGCCCCAGCCCCAACAACCCCAGCCCGAGCCCCAGCCCACCCCCACCACCAGCCCCAGCCCCACAGCCAGCCCCAGCCCCACCAGCCAGCAGCCCACCCCACCCCAGCCCCAACCCCAGCCCCAGCCCCACAACCCCAGCCCCAGCCCAGGCCCCAGCCCCAGCCCCACTCTTTCAGCATTTGGGTGGGTTGCGAATTGCCTTTTCTAGGTCCTTCCACTCCAAACTGTGGTTTTCGGTTTTTTCCAGCCCCTCCAAGCCCCCAAACTTGGTTTTTGGCCTTTTCGAAGCCCCCTCCAAGACCCCAACTGGGTTTTTGGCTTCTTCCAAGCCTTCCAAGCCCCCTTAAAGCTCCCAAACTGGGTTTTTTTGCCTTTCTCCAGACCCCCTCCAAAGGCACAAATTGTGCTTTTTGGCTTTTTCCAGACCCCTTCCAAGCACCCAAATTGGGTTTTTTTGCCTTTCCCAATCCCCCTCCAAACCCCCAAAATCGGGTTTTTTTGCCTTTCTCCAGACCCCCTCCAAAGCCCCAAACTGTGCTTTTTGGCCTTTTCCAAACCCCCTCCAAGCCACCAAATTGTGTTGTTGTTGCTTTTTCCAAGCCCCTTCCAAACTCCCAAATTGGGGCTTTTGGCCTTTCTCCAGATCCCCTCCAAAACCCCAAATTTGTCTTTTTTGCCTTTTCCAGACCCCCTCCAAGCCCCCAAATCAAGCTTTTTTGCCTTTCTCCAAACCCCCTCCAAAAGCCAAAATTGTGCTTTTTGGCCTTTTCCAAACCCCCTCCAAGCCCCAAAATTAGGTTCTTTGCCCTTTCCAGACCCACTTTTGCCTTCCTCCAGACCCCCTCCAAAGGCCCAAATTGTGCTTTTTGGCCTTTTCCAGACCCCTTCCAAGCCTCCAAAGTGGGTTTTTTTGCCTTTTCCAAACCCCCTCCAAGCCCCCAAATCGGGTTTTTTGCTTGTCTCCAGACTCCCTCCAAAAGCCCAAATTGTGTTTTTTAGCATTTTCCAGACCCCCTCCAAGCCACCAAATTGGGCTGTTGGACCTTTTCCAAACCCCCTCCAAGCCCCCAAATTTGGATTTTTGGCTTTATCCAGACCCCCTCCAAGCCAAAATTTAGCTTTTTTGCCTTTTCAAAACCTTCTCCAAGCCCCCAAATTGGGTTTTTGTTACCCCTAGCTTTTCAACGTTTTTTCCTCTCCAAGCCCCCAAATTGGGCGCTTTAGCTCTGCAACCCTGCCTTGCTCTGCTCTGCTCCCTTTTGCTTTGCCTTGGTGCTTTCAATTTACTTAAACCTCCGTTCGGGCTCTTGTTTCAATTTGCTTGAACTGCTTTTTGAGAAACTTACCAATTTACTTAAACTGAATTGTGGTTGTCGGTTGCTTTCCATCAAACCCGCTTTCGTTCTGCTCTTCAAACCACAACCTGTAGGGTTTCAACTGCTCCATTATATATATATATATATATATATATAGAACAAGCTGCCGATTTACTTAAACTGCATTGTGGTTGTCGATTGGTTTCCTTCAATCCTGCCTTCTGTTCTTAAAACAACAACCTGCGCTGGCGCACTTTGGCGTAAGCCTCTAAAATTTAGGGTTTAGGGTTTAGGGTTTAGGGTTTAGGGTTTAGGGTTTAGGGTTTAGGGTTTAGGGTTTAGGGTTTAGGGTTTAGGGGTTTAGGGGTTTAGGGGTTTAGGGTTTAGGGGTTTAGGGGTTTAGGGTTTAGGGTTTAGGGTTTAGGGTTGATTGGGGAAGTTTAGGGCTCAGGGTTTAGCAAGACTGTACATGCATGCAAAACGAAGGAGAATCGTCGGCATTGCCTCCTGCTCCTGACCATAACTTGTACGACGGCCATGACGATCATTATCAGGGCCACGCATCAACAGGTATTGTCATCAGCATCGCCGTCATCATCGTCATCACCATCACCAGCATCGCCACTGTCATCGTCACCGTTGTCATCAATATCACCAGCATCATCGTGATCGTCATTGCCACCGTCATCGTCATTCGTCACCGTCATCGCCATCCTCCTCATCATCCTCATCGCTCCTCATCATCCTTGCTCCGTGTTAGCGTCACGGTCTGAATCATCATAGCTATCATTATCAGAAACATGAGCATCAGACTCAGCCTCGTCATCTGCAGCATCACGAGCCCTGCTGCCCTGCAACCATCATCGCCACCAATGCTGCCATTACTGCCGTCGCCCGCACCACCCCCACAGCCAGCGTTAGCACACAAACACTACTTCGTTGCAATAGGAGAAAGCATAGAGGGAGCACTGTAGAAATGGCACTGGATAGATGTCTGAAGACTTGTATTCAATTTTCGATTTGGGCCCAAACCGAAAGCACGGAAGACAAGCACAGCGCTTTGCTGCTCAGTTTTGAAGTGTCAAGTTCTATCCAACCCTTGAGGGTTTCAGGGTTTAATGTGGGGGCCTTAATAATTAGAATAGGGTTTTACATCCCCAAAACCCCATTCTAATTATTAAGGCCCTTACATTAGACCCTCCAGGCCTGGGTTGAAGGGATCAGCATGTCTTGGGGATTCCGACTGAGCACATAGGACATAGGCTCGGAGTTTTTGGGTGAAGCCCTAAACCCTAAACCCCTAAACCCTAAACCCTTAACCCTGATCCCCAAAAGCCCCTAAGGGCCAAGGGAGCCTCGACGGTTGATATTCATGTCGTAAGGCGGTTCTTCCGTCCCTGATTTGATACCAGCAAGAGTAGTTTGAGCCGAGCCACACGATCTCAAGTGGTAAGAAGTAGTAAGAAGTGTACCTAAGGGGCGATTACAATTGCAGGGGATTTATAAATCTAGCTGAATACTAAATGGCATGATCCCTTGCGTAGCCCACACGCGCAAGCTTAGACCTAGCCTGCCCAGACGCTGAAAGGCCCAAGCCAACTGGACTTCTGTCCCACAGTCCGTGAAACGACTTGAAGCCGTGCGACCCCGAACTTCACGGCACCGACCTCCGGAGAACCTTTACACTGAAGAACCCAAAACCTCTACCCGTAGCATAAAGCCTCTCACTCTTTTCCTGAAGGGATATTGATAATGCCTTCAACAGTTTATGCTTACGTGCCTTTCGGGCTCCTGAATCATGATCCAGGACGAGGAGGAGCCGGAGAAGAAGCGCATGAAAGCTGCAGAGCCTGCCAAGGATCGGAGACGCGGAGTTCGGACATGTCTCAGATTACGACTTAGGGTTAGCTTCTGCCGTGACAGTCCTGTGGTTTTTGTTGGAAGTTCGAGTCTTCGGCACTCCATTCGCGAGGAGGAGGGCACGCCGTGACGGCCTCAGCCCACTCTCAGCTCACTCCTGATTTTCAACCCAGTTGAAGAAATCTGCGGACCCTGGAATAAGCCTGTCGCTAGGATACCTTCTTGGTTGCATACCTGAATAGACAAGTATAGTAAACAAGTATATACGTATACATGCTATACGTACATTTGTTCGGTGTTTTTCCTGAAATGATGGATCCCTTCTAGGGTTCAGGTTACGTATGCGGCTGTGATCAGCAGGCCCGTGCTGCAAAATTGAAAACACGTCCAATGCAGAATTGCATCCCGCTCATCCATTTTTTCGCGGGATCCTCGATACGGGTATCATTCTTCTCCATTCTGCTGCCAGTCCTGCAGAGCAGCGGAAGTATGACATGCGCTGGAATTCTGATCGATTTAAGCTTCGATGTTCCATACGATGTTCCATGTGAGCATGAGCATGCAAGCCATACACGCCAGCAGCTGTCCACCCCGATGCAGAGTTCAAATTAGATATCTTGTCTTGCAGATGATCTCTTTGTTGGAATTACTACCACTATTCTGATGTTTTCGTACCCCTGAACCCTCAACCCGCCACTAGACTTGCGTACCCCACGTTTGAGGGCTCTTGACTGTTTCTGGTGGAAACCCTACCTCAAGACCTGAACCCTAAAGGTCAACCCCTAAACCCCAAAACTCCACACCTCGAAACCCTAAACCCCTAAACCCCTAAGCCCCCAAACCCTGAACCCTACTTACGGCTTAAGCCATGAAGCCTCAACCTTCCCGAGGCTCGATCTCGCCTCGCGCCACCTCGCCCAGTGCTTGAGCTGCACTTACGAGGAAGCTGTACTAAAGGGGCATTAGTAATTTAGAATAGTGTTCCGGGATCTCACGAAGACAGCAGCAACTGTCTACAAGGTTTACGCGGTTTTATGGTGTTGTCTGTTCAGAGCATTAATTAGGGTTTCATGATTTTGATTTTTTCAGTGCGGCCAATACCTAGGCTTTCGGCAGGGTTTGCGGCTACCGGCAGGGCTTCTAGGCCTTGGGATTCAGAGCAGCCGTAGAGTCTGGGTTTGCATCGAGTTCTGATGCAGGAGGGGGCGGGTAAGCCCCAAGCCAGGCCCTCGACAAATCACACAAACTCCCGAGTGGTCGAAGGTGCAGCGAGATGCACAACCTTGCGCAGGCGCTCCAGAAGGAAGGCCGGGCGGGAGGGCTGGGTTGTCCGGCTCTAGCATTTTAGAGATTTGGGGTTTCAAGGTTCAGGGTTTACGGTTCATTTCGGATTTGAGGCATTTGAAATTTTGGGGTCCCCGAATTCGCAACCCAAAGCCCCAAACCAGCAAAAGCTCGTAGAACCAAACGAAGGCCGATGCCCGCCATCCCCGTAGGATGAGGTCTGTGTGCTGTGCATGTGTACTTGGAGGTTCATGGGTAGTTATAAGTAGAGTTTCAAGTATGCTAACTATAATGATAACTCATATCAGGGGACTTACAACCCCACTTATAACTATCCCATGAACCTGCAAGTACATTTGCCTCTAGAGGGCTCTTCGGTTGGCTCAGGAGGCTATGGAAGCAACCCCTCTAACCCACCGCAACATCCGTTAGGTACGCTCGAGACTGCTGCAATCATCTATGGTCGTGGCCTTAGATTTGGGAGTTTTATACAACAAAAGTTCCAAGTACACAGGCTATAAGACGCCTGTGCCGAACTAGTAGGTTCCCGTTTTCTTGAGCGAGCCTCATACCTCGAACTCAGTGGGGAGGGCTTGCAGGGGCGAAGGGTTCAGACAAATCGCAACACCCGACACTCAATCCCAAGGCATCACGACTAACTACATAGGCCAGAGTACTCGAACCCTCTTGAGTATCAAGTGTTGTTGGTGTCGTTCTCATTTATCTTTTTGGTTTATGTCGGTATCCCTTCCCCTTCTCCCCAACCCCTAAGCGCTTAAACCCTAAACTCCTATGCCCTAAACTTAACCCTAAACTCCTGAAGCCCTAAATTTAACCCTAAACCCCTAAACCCGTATCCCTCATGGCATCAAGTTACCTCAGGACCATTTGGCACGATCGCAGTTGGAAAGCCCATGAGCGAGCCCTGAATCCTCACGGCCGATATTCAAAGCCTTCCACTCCTTGGAGACATAATAGAGAGGCCGAAATAATTACCAACACTGTTTTGGGGGCTCCTTATTATAAGTATAGTATAACGGGCCCCAAAACCTTATTCTAATTATTAAGGCCCCTGGGTATAGGTTTCGGAGAGATGGCTCGTGGAAGCCGGCCCTAAGCCCCAGAAGTCAGCGGTCAACGGAGGGGCCGGGATATAGTTGGAAGCGGAGTTAGAAGCAGGGTAACTGTAATGATATCCTTAAACCCTAAACCCTAACCCTAAACCCTAAAACCCTAAACCCTAAACCCTAAACCTTATAGTCCGACTTATGACTACCTATGAAGCTCCACGTGTACCTAGACTCCAAAGCACCAAACGACGAGTCCCAAAACCCAAATCCTCAATACCAGGGTTTAGGGTTTAGGGGTTTAGGGTTTAGGGGTTTAGGGTTTAGGGGTTTAGGGCTTAGGGCCCCACATCCAAAGCCCTGGACCCCGGACTTGTTCAGTAAAGCCTTGCCCCTGAACTCGAAGCCATGCGCCGGGATGAAACGAAGGCCGCGGCGTCACGAAGAAGAACTACCAAATCAACGGCCGGAGTTTCGGGTTTAAACTTACTTGGAGGTTCATGGGTAGTTATAAGTGGAGTTACAAGTAGGTAACTACAATGTTAACACATATTGGGCGACTCAAAACCCCACGCAGGGTTCTTGGATGTAGAGTTCAGGCTATGAATCTGTTTACAGACAGTTTAGGGTGAAGGATGCATTGCAGGAGCCGGGCTCAGTGCTCTAAGCGTCGTTGAAGGTTAGTCTTTGCGGTTGATGTCAGGTTTAGGGTGAAAGTTGTTGAATTCAGACAGAGCTTTACCCGATGTAACATAGTGGCCTACAGCACTTCCAAACGCTAACGCTTTTGAAAGGATTGCCGAAGGCCGCTGGAATATTGTCTGTTGCCGCCGGCATGACCGCTCGAGGTTGCTAGTCTTTCGAGGTTTACCTATCCTCTGACCGTCAAACCCTATGAATCAAAAGTCTTACATCATAGACCGAAGCTCCAAGCCTTCAGCCTCGAAACCCTGAACCCCAAGCCTCTAAACCCTAAACCCTCTAAGCCAGAAACTCAAAGCTCTCTCGGAGCTCTCGTTGAGGGATGCCTATGCCGTTCCGAAGATGCCTCCAGATGAATCGTCGATCAGTATAGGAGCCTGAAGAATTACCAACAATTTCGAACAGAGTTTGGGTGTAAAGGAACCTTGAGGAATAGTTCAGTCCAGCACCTTTTCTATGTAACCAGGCTATCATTTACACCAGGACCCGATGCAGATTGCAAGGCCGATAGATTCGGAGCTTCGCAATTCAACTCCGAGCCAGGCATCTACTCTTTGCGGACGGGGAAGTACCACGGTGCGGTTTGCTACCAGAGCCCAGGCGTTTGTTTGGAATGCATGTAGAGCTCGGAAGACTTCCTTATCACACTGCCTTTAGTTTCTAAATAATCAGATTCTATATGTTTTTACACACACATACCTGAATACATATAAGTTCCTGTCTTGATGATTCAGGCTTCTTCTTTCTGGGATCTTAGCAGCCCCGGGGCCAGTCCCTGCTTCGCGAGCTTCGGAGTAACACCAGAGAAGAAGCACCTGAAGTGAACGTGTTGAAACCTGTCCCCGAGCAGGGCAGTTGCTAAATATCCAAGACTTTAAACCCTCAAAGCGGAGATTTTGCTATGCTAAAGTGCCTTGTTGGTTCTCCTAGTCTCTAGACCAGGTGGGGCTTAAGATGTTAAGGTGCTGTCGGCTCGGTTGCTGATGTCTTCAGAAACCTTGCTTGGCGGGCAGCTAGAGTCTGAGGTCAATTAGAGTAATTGCAGGGCTCCATTCGGGCAGCGATACCTGACCTCCGGCCTTCACCCCAACCCAACACAAGAACATAAACTCCCGCCCACCATCATATGTACCTATATGTATATAAAATAAACATAAGATTTAGATAGCTAGCTATCTGTCTATCTATATGTTCTCTATCTATGCACCTAACTACCTGTCTATACACATACACACAGATAGACATACATCCTAACATGCATATACAATATGTGTCTGTGTGTTATCTCTTTCCTGTTTGTCTTTTGATGCAGAGTATCTCCATGTCTTTACCTATACCTATCAAATTCTGAATTCATTCTCTCTCGCCAGCCCTAAAACCCTAGACCTGAATCCCCAACCCCTACACTCTAAAACCTAAAGCCCTATAAACCCTAAACTTCAGCCCCTAAACCCCTGAACCCGAATCCCTAAACCCTCCTACGTTCGAAACCCTTAAGCTGGGAGTTAGGATTAGGGGGACCCTGGGGGATATAGACCCTCTCAATAAGGTCCCTTTTAAGAGAGAAGTAGGGTTCGGAAGGGGTACCCTTTAAGGGGTCTCCCTCATCATGCCACCCACAAACCCAGGAAGGAGACGAACGACCCCAAAGCCGGGAAGAAGTTCCTCCTCTACTCCGCCACGAAGCCGCCCGACTTTAGGATTTGGGCTTTAGGATTCGGGCTTTAAGATTTAGGAATAAGAATTAGCAAATAAGAATTCGGCTTAAGAATTAGGAACCGCAGCCGGTCGAGTGCTCCGCGGCGCTCAGGGATGAGAGTTGGGCAGTTCTTTGAGTTAGGATTTAGGGGTCAGGGTCTTTAGGGTTTGGGGCTTAGGGTTCAGGGTTTGGGCTTTTAGGGTTCAGGGCGCAAGCTTCAGGGTTCAGGGCTTCGCACTTAGCATTTGGGGTTTACTAGGTGGGGCTTTGGGACATTTTGTATTTTCCCTTCTTGGGCTTAAGAGGATCTTACCTACTAATATTTTTCAAAGGCTTTGAAAGCACCTCCTAGTTTAGGGTCAAGGCAAAGGGGTGTGTAGGGTTTCAAAGATTCAGATTTGTGGGGCATCAAGAGTTTAAGCTGGCTTTGGACTTTGTACCTTCAAGCCAACTTGTTTTGATTCAGGGGGTTTTCGAGGGTGTGGGGTTTTTGGATTCAGGCATTTCTGATTGCAGTTTCAGGACTTCAAGGTTGTGTGTTTTCAAGGGTTTTGCACCGGGTTCTAGGGTGTAAGGATTTGGGGCATTTGCAGGTCTTGGCATTTGAGCCGGAGTTATCCTAACATCCGGAAGAAAGTCTTCGGGAGAGTTGACGATTCAGGCCTCAGGTATTAGATAGTTGGGCCAATACAGGGGGCCTGTACGTAATTATAGTATAGCACGCTCGTACAGGGACCATGGGGGTAAATTACTTCTGGTGATGCAGACCTCAGAAATGGAGGCATCAGGGGCAGGGTTTGGGCTGTACCTGCGTCGTGGCATCAGAAAGCATCGTACGGACGGGCTTGCCGAGGCAACAGTGGAAGATCACGGATAAGATCCAGGCAGGTTTGGTACCCGCAGGAAGAGGGTGTGTTCTTGTCAAGGAGTTTAGTTTAAGCTACCAAAATAGGGATCTACGGTAAATAATCAATCTGGCTTTGTATTCTGATAATTTACATTAAATTTCATAAAACCCCAGAAGAAGTTGCATTCATGTCATATGGGGTGGGGCCTGCTGCTTTCGGGGATCGTGGGCGGATAGTCATTTGTCCGTGCTCTACGGAAAGTCAGAGTCAGAGTTAGAGCCTAAACCCGGCATCCCTAAACCATAATCACCACAATCCCGAAATGCTTAAATGAAAGATTCCTAAGTCTTGGCGCCTATATGTCCTAAACTGCATAAACCCAAGACAATACTGAACTCCGCACCGTTAAAAGCCCGAGCCCCAATCGCATGGCAGGATCAGGACAGCTTCGCCTACGCTCGTGTGGAGGCCTTTCCATTCTCCATGCACTGAGAAGACGACAATACCAAATGGGAGTTTCAGAAAATCGGGGACGTTCAATATGTTCCCTAGACGACCACCACTAGACTCGCTAGACACTTTGTACTCCTTCAGGACGGATCCTTTCTGCAGCCCCGGGTTACACCCCAGTAATCTTCCTCTGTCCTGCTCTCTCTTCTGTCTTCCCTTCAGTAGAAAGCCCTCTTATCCAAGCGTACAACTTTTGGCGTCTCGTGAGGACCGGGGCAAGCAGCCCCCACCGGATCTGCCAAAGGGCTACCTCACCTGGAAGGCCCGATACCACACAAATCATAGGGAACCTTTTGGGGGGTAAGGGGGGAGGGGGTCAGGGCACATGTAGGGTTTAGGGGTCAGGGTCTAGGGTATGGGGGAGGGGGGGGAGGAGACTATACTTGTTTGCATGGGTTTATCAAAATCTTTTCAGGTCCTTTTATGGGCAGTAAGGCCCCCCTACCCCTCTGAAGGCCCGGACCACAAAGCTTGCATTAGCTGCTGGGGGCAACTGGCCAGACGTCTCCTGCCGTATGCATGCGCATAGTACAGGGGGCTAAGTAGTTTTTTGATTACCAGTGCTAGTTTGGGGATTCCTTAATTATTATACTTACGGTAGAATATACCTCAAAACCATATTCCAATTATTAAGGCCCCTATCTTACTGTCACACATACATCCGTACATGCTGTGTATTGTACATGTATATATGTGCAAGCGGGTAGTTGACGCACAGACTTTTCAGCGAAATGGACGCAAAGCTGTTTCCTAGCTGTCCTGATGCACAACGACGAATCGCACGGATGCGTACCCATAGAACCCCTGATTTTGGGAACCTATGCTACCGCTACGGTACTATATAGGAAACCCCTTAGAGATCTACTTTTTGGATCCTTCCTGCATTCTCGCGCCGCACCGGCAATCCCTGAGCCATAGACAAACCCCGCGAAATGTTGCATGGGCCCCATACCCTGAACCCAAGTCTTAAACAATGACCCCTAAGCCCCAAATACACTAAGCACTGAGCCCTAACCCCTGAGCCTTAAACCCCTAGACCCTATGCCCTAAAACCCCTACGGTCTAAAATCCGAACCCAAGTGTGAGTCCTGACATGACTCCCATACCTTCGATGCACGAAATTGCTGCAGCTTGCCTGCAGGTCTTTAGCGGCAAGCAGGTCGGCGTTGATGCAGTGGTTTGGGCCTTCTTCTACGGTTGTTCGGTCCGAGTGGGCTTGGAAGAAATTCAGACTGCATGAATGTTCTTCGGGCTTCTTGTGCTGTTCAAAGCCGCACACTTTGACCATTTATAGGATCATTTCCTGACTTGTGGGGCTTGGACACGTCGGAATCAGGTCTGCGTTGATCGGGTGCATCGGGTGCAGTTCGGTTTAACGTTTTGGGTTTAGGGTTCAGGGCGATGCCCTCTGCCCGTGCGCCAGGGCGGCTACAAGAAAGACGACCAAGTCTTCTGTACAAGGCAGAGTCGGTTGGCAGAGCGCAGTAAGCCGCAATCCCTGAAGCCTATAAGGGTTCCTTTCAGGGGTTCCTGTAGGGGATGATGTAGGGGTTCCTTTCAGGGTTTTGTAGCTGAGCCGACTGTTTGCTCCTGGCTTATCACGATGCCCTAGCTCCGAAAACCCGGCCATGTGCCCCTAACTATCAGTAACTATTGAAACTATTCATAAATAATGTAGGGGAGTCTTCAAACTAGCCTGTTTTACGATTTAGGGTTTTAGGTAAGTTTAGGGTTTAGCGGGCCAGAAACTTCAAGCCTAAATTCAAATATTCAACCCCTAAACTCTATACCCCAAACTCTCTGTAAACTCTCGACTGTAAGCCGCATGCAGGGTGGACATCCCCACTTTGGCCGCTGCCGTGCAGAAGGCAAAGGCGGAAGTCAAGGCGTGCGGATCCGGGGGAGTCTCGGGGGGTTCGCGGACGATATCATTTTGCTGTATTTAGTTGTTTGACTAACTATGGCTATCTCGTTTTCTGCTTCACCATAATAGGATATAATGCTGCGGTATCTCAGATTATGGTACATGATCGTATATTGCAATATGGTTTTCGGGAAGGGGACTGGAGTTGAGGGTCGGCGGGGGGTTGAGGCTCTTGGGGTAGAGTGTGCAGGATTATCCAAATATCAGGGATCTTGAGTTTGGAGTTTCATGGTAGTGGTAAGTGGAGTTAGGGTAACTCTAATATGATAACCCATTCTAGAGCACTCATAACCCCATTTACAGCTACCCATGAACCTCCAAGCAGAATCAAGCGTTTAGGCTTTATTGAATTGCCCTTTTGGTAGTTGATTTGGTTGAGAATCTTCGGCCACTTCGGCTCTACAATAGATGTGAGGTTTTGGGGAGTTTAAGATGCCAGGGTTTGGGGCCTACGTTGGAATTTCGGGTAGGGGGACTCAGGTAATTTTACGGTTGTACGGAAATAGAGCTAGAACAAAAAAGACATGCCATTGCAGATACCGAGTATCATGCAAACACATGTCTCTGACTATTTCTCCAGCTGCCTCTTCACGTGTATGCTTTTTGCGTTTGTTTTGTTCGTTGTATTTTTTGTGGGTTCGGGGTTCAGTGTTTAGGGTACATGTTTCTGCACATAGCTTTTAATTTGCTTACCTCCCAAAGAGAGTAGAGCTGCGCTTGCTTGAACCCAGCAAATCTAACCCGAAACCTGAACCCTGCCCCCACACCCTGCGAACTCTGCATTCTTCTAGCAGGTCTAAACCCTCTATGACAGCCCCCCAACTAATTACCCGGAAACTACCCTCCATTCCTCCCCAAATACCCCGTTTTGGACCACAAGGGTTCTTTGCAAGGGCATCAGAAGGGGAAGCGCAGCGCCACAAGCCCAAAGCTAGCTACCAGGCTCTCCACGTCAAGGAGGCAACTTCCCGACAAAGCCTGATCGTTGTGATTGGTGTTTGTAGATAAGGGTCTAGGTTTAGGATGTCACGTTTAGGGCTTTCGTTTTAGGGTTCAGGGTTTCGATATTTCTGATAAGGATCATGACCTTGATGTTGAATGGCAACTGAATAATAAGTAATTGCCATCACATCGATAAATCTTAAGACTATCATTTAGAAGCTGCCCCCACCCTGTAATAGTGGTATAATAGGAATATTATAGGGCCCTAATATAATATTAGTATAATCCTTATGGTCACTATTACAGGGTGGGGGCAGCTTCTAAACTATCATCATGGCTTCTGATTGTAATCTTCAGCCCCAGACCTGCACCCCAAACCCAAACCCCAACACCGACACCCCTTGGATTCGAAGGCTCGAAGGCCCGAAACCTTAAAGTAAAAGCCAGAAAGTTGGAATATTATTATCCTAAACCCTTTATGGTAAATTACAGGGTATCCTACCCTGAAACCATATTACAACTTTCTGGAGTTCCCTTTAGCTCATCTGATTGTTCGGGGTTCAGAGTTTAGGGGTTTAGGGGTTTCCGGCTTGGGTCTCAGGGTTCAGGCTTCTGTGTTAACAAATCCCATAAACAGAAGGATCCTGTCTGTAGTTAGGTCAGGACAACTCTTCTTATTGATTCAGTAGGAAATACCTGAATGCCACATTTCCAGTATGTATCCTTATTTGTTGGTATATTTAGATTTAACACAGATATTTATGTTCATATCAAAAACATATATGCACGCATATGTATTCTGGTAGGTGTATCTGTACATATGTACATATATATCTACATATATATATATATATATACACATACAGAGACAGAGAGAGAGAGAGAGAGAGAGAGAGAGAGAGAGAGAGAGAGAGAGAGAGAGAGAGAGAGAGAGAGCGAGAGTCAATAAAGTCAATTATTTGTTTGTTTGTTTGTTTGTTTGTTCATGTACTTGGTATTTGGTGCTGAATCGGATTTAGATGGAATGCTGGATCGGATTTAGCCCCGGTTCGAGGTTCAGGTTTCACGGTTTCCTGTCGGATTTGCTTGGGGTGGGTGTTAGGGCTTAAAGGGAACTCCAGAAAGTTGGAATATGGATTAATGGCAGGATCCCCTATAATTTACCTTAAAGGGGTTGCGATAATGATATTCCAACTTTCTGGCGTCTACTGTAGTGGTTCAGGGTTTAGGGTGTCATGGATCGGTATGAGGCCTTTACTCCCCCTAAAGAAAGTCCCGACCCGAACGCCTGACTCCCCAAATCCGTACAACCTAAATCCTTTCAAGCCCTAAGCTAGGTAGGGCTTTGGGACATTTTATATTTTCCCTTATTGGGCTTAAGAGGATCTTATTTACTAATATTTTTCAAAGGCTCTAAAAGCCCCACCTAGTAAGCAAAGGCCGCAGTAAATCCTTATACATATTCGTACAATAGCTTACAAAAGCATCCTTCTGAGCTGTACTTCCAATGATTACGGCCCGTATCTTCAGCCGTGTAGGCCGAGAACAACGAGCGCTTGGCTAGGCAGGCTTGTGACGACCGCGCTCCTTGGTGCAGTTGGTTTCTGGATTTAAATCATGATATAGGGACTCGGGTAAAGGTGATTAGGATTTGGGAGTTTCCGAAAATAGGGGACCCTAATATGGTACCCTAGATAGTAGGATCCTTATATTGTAAGGATCCCCAAATAAGGTACCCCTAATTTTCGAAAACTCCCATTTAGGGTCTGTGGTATTGGGATTAGGGTCGGGGGATGCTAAGGCTTTTGGTTTTGCGGGATGGGGACGAGGGTTGGGGTTTGCGGATCTAGGATTGGAAGGGATGGGGTTATGGCTTCTAGGATTTGGGGCTTGGGGAGATGGGCCGATGTTTGTTTGGTAGGGCATTGCGTCTAGGGGACTTTGAGAACCCTCGAATCAAGCCAAAAAGCCGGACTAACGTCTAGTCTAAACTGTAAATCAGTAGGGCTTGCCACGGTTTAGGCCCAGGACGTGCTACCCAACTCAGACAGGTTCAGGCCGTCGTGGCCGCCGTTCAGCGCGAGACGAAGCCAGGAGGCCGCGGCATGTTAGGGGGAGGGCGGGGAGGGATGAGTTGGGGTTTTGACGTTTTTGGGTTCGGGAGTTTAGTCTTGGGGTTTGTGGTCTGGTTCAGTTTGGGACTTCGCGTTTGTGGATCTCGCACTAGGCCACTAGGCTTCGACTTATTAGGTCTTGAGGCCTTGTTTCCTGTGTTGGCGGTTTCGGTCTTGGTGTCAGCCTCGCTGTTGAGGCTGTGGGACTGTATAGGTCTGTTTGGGATTCTAACTATTGGTGTAGAGGATTCAAGGATTGTTTGTGGGTCCCAGCCGCGTCCTGCATTGTCGCGATGCCTAGACCGATAGGCTCCATTATGGTTCCTTTTTGTGGCCTATATTTGGGATCCTATAAGGTGACCCCAAAAAGTAACTGCAATGGAGCCTATGTATACAGCTGGTCACGACCTGCTGCATTCATTGTCCCGAAGCCTAGAGTCACCAACGCAACAGTTTGCAGGCTTGAAAGCTGTCTGGTGCAGAGGTTCATCACTCCAGATCGCAAGCCCAAGCTCAATCTCGACCTCAATCCTAAAGCCCTCAAATCCCTAAACCCCGGATCCCACCTCAAGGCCTGCCCTATAACCCCATAAACCTTGTAAAAACTGAAGCCAAAGCTCGAAAGTGGTCCAAAACAGCCCTATGTCCTGAACCCCCTAAACCCTAAACCATACATTCCAAGCCCTGAGCCCTAAAACCTTTTCACCCTAAGCCCTAAAGCCTGTACCTTAGGCCCTAAAGTTGCCCTGGACCCTTCTTGAGCTTCATTTTTCGGCTTGCTGGGTGTAGGACAGTGTAGGATTTACAGACGCTACAGACCCCCAACAAAAGACAACGGTTTTCATGTTTTTGGGCCTTGACTGCGTCTTTTACATGTGCTCATGCTGTTCCTATGAGCGGTTCTTTGCTAAGGCCCTGTTTCAATCCGAGCCCGGCCCAGAAAGTAACTGTCTGAGATGCTGCAGGTCAAGCAGGGGAGGAGGACACTTTTCGGATCCGACGGCATTGGGTTGTGATGGCAAGGGTTTGGGGTGTCGTGTTGTCCCGTGCCTCTGTGATAGAAAGCACTAAGATGCGGCAATCTTGGTTTAAAAGATTTCGTCCGGTGTCTTAGGGCTTTAGCTTTACAAGTTAGGGGCATTTAAGGCTTGCCGGAAATAGACATTTAAAGGTTGTGGCTTGAGTCTCATGTGGCGGTCTTGGATTTTGTATGCTCCCAAGTCTGAGCCCAGCTGCAGATCAGAATTCGAAGCAGTCGGAATTCGTCCTTAAGTTTAGGGCCTAGGGTTTGGTTTGGGGTTTAGGGATTGGGTAGATAGACCGGAAAAGGCAAAGATGGTAGAAGCATCGGCGCATAGTTTCTGTATTTCGCAAGCTGGGTTGAGACTCCGGTAAACACGGTGCGAGTCCTTGCCGCAGGTTTATTGCTTGCAGACACATTAGACCTGGGTATGCAGAGAAGCCAAAACTGTTGAGCGAAGTCCCAAACGCATAACCCACGAGCCCACCATCCAGTGCCGCCCGGAGCGCGCAAGCCCGCAACAACGAGTATAAACTGTAACAGCCTGCTGGAGGACAGGCAGACCCGGCAGGAGGATGACCCCTTGCAAGCTCGGGATCTGCAAGGCACCGGGTTTCAGGCTTCAGTTGATCCATGTTAAAGAAGGGGCCTAGATAATTCCAAATACTATTTGGGGGTTTCTTATTGTAGGCATAGTGTAATGGGCCCCGAAAACCACTCATAATTGTAAAGGCCTCCGTACTACGGATAAAATCTAATTCATTTTAAGGCGCTTCAACGACATGGTTGCAGAATTGACAACAACGACACAGCTCGGCAGCTCCATCCATCCGAGTCGATGTGATACTTTTCGGGTAGTTTTGAAATTTCGGTCCCGATTTAGGTCCCCAAGATACTACGGCACCCTTAAGCAAGGACCCTAAAATCAATCCTAATCCAAAAATAAAGCATTGGCGGAACGTGGAATCGCAGCATTTTGGCATGAGATCGGATCGCCACGAAAGTCCGAACCGATGATCCCCCCAGTGTGTCGAAAAGTGTGAGAATGTCCACACCGGCCGCTCTGCCACTTCAAAACATTGCTTCTCTCTTTCCCCGTCTTTTGTGGCGGGAAAATCACTACTTGGAGGGTCGGGGGACTTAGTAACTGGCTATTTTGGGGACCTATAAGTACCATAACCCCAATTCGGATCCCTCTTAGGGTACTTAGAAGTCTATACTTACTACCTACTTACTAAGTCCCCCGACCCTCCAAGTATGGAGACTCTCCCAGGCCTCTTGACTGTTTGCAACCGAACCGGGCGTTTGGTAGCTAGTAGCATTTGGGAGTTTCCGAAAATAGGGGGATGTTAATATAGAACCCTAAATAGTAGGATCCTTATTATAAGGACCCCAAAATAAGGTACCCCTAATTTTCGGAAACTCCCATTTGTTGCTCTTGCTTTTCTCACCTACCAGGACCCGAAGCCTGGGACTCGAAACCAGGACCCTAAAACTCCGAAACCCGAAAGCCCTGAAAGTTCCCAAAAGGTGGGAAGCTCAAGCAGCTGGCGTCGCCAAATGGCAAGGAGAGAGCCCCAACTGAAATGTCGGGCTAGCGGCTAGTACACAAGTGCATGGAGTATCGGGGCCTCACTGCTGTCCATTATACTTATGCGAGGGCAAAGTGATTATGAAGAGATCTTGGTTGGACGAATCTTGGGTTCAGGCTTACGCCAGAAACCAGTGCCCAAGACAAATTCGAGTGGCCAGGGCCCCACGCCAGTAGAACAAGTTCTCCGGGCGCAGTATGCCTGCCACTAAGAAGCGCCATGATCTTGCGACTCCTGTGTGTACTGCTTTAAAGGATGGGTTCACTCCCAACCGTTCACCGAAGCCTTGCGATTCCCGTCCTATCTTTGCAACCCGCAAGTGCATGAAGGTCGTGATCCAAGCGCAAAGCATAAACACGCAAAGTCTCAACTCCCGACAGTCTTGGGCCGGGGGTTCAGGGTGTCAGTCAGGGATGGTGGTCATTGAGTCGTCACTCATCTAGTGAGTTGTCATGTGGGGGGGACTTTGCAATGTCATACGGCTTTAAAGCTCGCAGGACGTCTTCGCCTGCATCTCCAGTGAGGAGGAAGGCATGTATCCGTTGGCTGGTTTCTCGGGGTTTTATTCCGTGCTGCCTCGGGTATTCTTCCAGAGAAATAGAACCTTCAGAAAAAGACAGGCACAGGAATAATTGCTTCAAAATCCCAAAGACCCCCGAAACATTGAAACAGCCAAAAGCTCCCGAAACCCGAAAGCCTTAACCCGAGAAAGTTCCTTGAACCCCCTAAACCATTTATCTTGAAACCCAAAGCCCTCAAACATCGCCGATGCGTCTGACGCCTTGAACTCGCACCTAAGACTTAACCGCAGGTCTGACAAATATGACACGCTTTACTCCACAACCCTAAACCAAAAGCCATCTAACGATCCCCAACAGTTCTGAAACGCACAAGTGTTCAACCTGCGAGGCGAGGTGGACATTCTCCAAGGTCCGGCGAAGGCCAGAGATACCCCAACCCCAATGTAGGGGCCTTCAGAGATATCCAAAGTGATGGTAAGTATAGCAGGAATATTTCACACGAATCACAAACATGGTCATAATGCCAGCAAGAACAAGCACAAGAACAGCAACCTAGAGTTGTCACAATAGCAATCATAGCAATAATGACAATCGTAGCACCAGCAACAATGGTAATTGTAGTAGCAATACCAAATCGCAATGGAACTCAATGGTGCTGTTGGATCTTATCGGCTTTATGCTATGCTCATGATGGGTTTAGAACAGTAACCTTACTGAGTCGCTTACGGTTTTGTCCGGCAATGTAAAGTTATGCTTTATCACATTAGACTAGACTAGGTGCTGTGCCATTCATATAGAAGTCTGAGAAGCTACGTGATAGCACCCCTTTGTCATATTTGTTTTCCCGAAAACTTAAACCCTGAACCCTATATAGTAGCTTGAAGGCTACTGCAACAAAGCATTTTTTGGGGGGGGAGGAGAAGGGGAGGCTCCAGTTGCAGGTGTGCTTGACGGCTTAAGGCCTTGGCGATTTTGAGGTTCAGGGTTTGTGGTTTTGTCGTCTCAGGCTTTGAGGTTTTCAAGCCTGTGAGTTTGTAGATTTGAACCCTTAACCCTGAAGCTCTGAAGCACTTATAGCTAAGCCGCTAAAGCGCTAAACGCCTCAAAACCCCTAAACCCTAAACTCCCAAACCCCTTCAGCTCATGATCCGCAACACTAATCCAAAACCCTAAGCCTAAACCCTTCGGCCCTAAACCTTAAACCCAATAACCCTTAAGACGAATCCGAGATTCGCCAGCAGGTGCGACGGAGGGCATCTCCGAGCCCAAAAGCCTCGCCCAGGTCTGGTGGCTGGCATGGCATGATAATAGGTAGTAATACATTAGAAGCTGCCCCCACCCTGTAATAGTGGTATAATAGGAGTATAATAGGGCCCTAATATAATATTAATATAATCCTTATGGTCACGATTACAGGGTGGGGGCAGCTTCTAAGTAATGATAATAGGTGGGTAGTTGTCAAAATTGGGGTCCCTTTTCGGGTACCTCTAATATTAGGTGCCGTAGTATAATAGGAACCCAAAAAGGGACCATAATTTTTGAGAACCACCCAGGTAGTAATACAATATTATTCCACTTAAACAACAACTATTACCTTCAACTATAAACCACATTAAAAAGTATTATCCCTATTAATAAAAAAGGGAGCATCCGGAGCCCCCCAAGATGCTGATCACAAGTATACTTGTTATTATAGTCCTATTCTTTCATAATCAGGTTGGTAACCATTATACAGTAATCTTATCACTGATGACAAGAGCAAACAGAATAAAGATAATATAATGATAACCCTACTTGTGTGCAGTTTTGGCAGGGCTCGGGGTTTGGGCTTTGGGGTTTGAGGATGGCCTTTTACCGACTTTTTGTGATAACTCCTGGTCCGTAAAGAAGTTCGATTGACCTTGAACCATGGGAGGAAAGGAACTTCTGGGCATACTGTATCATAGCGGGTTTCTGTGGGAGCATTCAGGTTGAGGATTTTCGGGTGTAGGGCAGTGTAGGGTTTAGCGCCTAAGGTTTTGTACTTAGAGAGAGGTTTTTAAGTGTTTGGGGCTTCAGTGGTTTGGGGATATGTGGGTTTCGTGTTTAGTTCGGGTTTTCTTAAGGAATCGCGCTTCCATTCAGGGTTTCGTGTTGGGGTTCAGGCTTGGGGTCTGAGGAATGGGGAGAGAAGCATATCCTAAACCCAGATAAAGGGAATTCCAGAAAGTTGGAATATGGATTAATGGTAGGATCCCCTATAATTTACCTTAAAGGGGTTACGATAATGATATTCCAACTTTCTGGCTTCTACTGTAAAGCTTTGAGCAAGGCTCATCGAGTTGGGGTCAGGTAGCTCCGAGTCTGCTAAGTGCTGCTGTTGCTTAGGCTCTTTGCCCCATTATGCTTGCGACTTGTAACGGCACGAAGCCCTGTATGGACGACAAGAAGGGAAAGCTGGTGAAATCAAGCAGCTCTGACCCCGATGCCACACGGATCTCCAAAACAAGTGTTGGTAGGTACCTGGAGGTTCATCGTTAGTGTGAGGTTATAAGTAGGGTAAGTCTTATAACTACCCATGAACCTCCAAGCAGCCTCGGTCCGAATCCAGGCCGGCAAAGGACGCCCCACCTGCCGTGAAGATTGTCGCCAGCGCCACAGAACCGCGGTTTACCCTGAACCCCAAATCCCAAACCCCTAAACCATAAACCATAAGGCCCTCAACCTTAAACCAAAACCCCTAAGCCATAACCCCCTGAAACGTAAGCCGAAAGTTCCTATACTTGCCAATACTTTTCCTTCAGGGCCCGAGGGCCCCCTTACATTTCTAGCGGAGTGGGTAGCCTTTAACCTTTTTGGGGTAGTGTAGTCCCTATATAACCCCTATATGTAACCAAAAAGGTTAACCTGTAGTTCCCCATGATACCCCGACAAGTAGGTTGCATTAGAGGGACGAGGGCCAGGGCTGAAGGTCCGACAACTAGTCCCTCCTCTTCCGCCCTTTTCCCGAAAGTCTCGGCGAAATTTTCTCGTGAAGCAATTATGCAAACTCAGCGGGGAGGTGCTATCGAACTCAAGACGCGTTTTGGAAGGAAATCACCGGTGTTGCGAGCTACCGGGTTTCCTGTCTGATAAATTTGGTTGCAGTTCGGACACTCCCAAAATGGGAGTTTCCGAAAATGAAACATAAGGACCCAACATAGTAGCAGGATCCTTATTGTAAGGACCCCAAAATCAGATACTCCTAATTTCCGGAAACTCCCAAATCGCCAACCGATGCTGCAAACTAGGGGGCCCGACCTCTGAAGAAATCCACCGCAGCACACTACTCTACTTTTTAATGAGGTTTCGAGCCTGGAGGAGGATGCGCCCGTCCGGCAAGAAGCGAGCCCCAAGGCAGGAGTTCGTGGCCTTCGGCTTTGATTATCGGTGGCGGGCTCCTGTAATTTTGAAGGTTCGGGTCGCATGTTGCGCCTCTGGCTTTTCAGAGGGACTGTGGGATCCGCAACTTTCTAAGTTACACCTCGCTTCCCGGTATAGAAACTCATTTACGGTACGGGGAGCTGTTCCACCCATGCAGGGCCTCTATTTCTAGACCCCTTGTAGCGTTCAGGAACTGCGGAAGATAATTCAGCAAGCCTTGCCTGGTCCTATAGACACGCAACCGGGTCTTGCTGTCAATAAGCGGTCGACCAGGATGTGAAAGAGGCCCGAATTTTACAAGAGCCTCAAGAAACGGCAGATTCAAGATGGGTTATGCGGCTGGGGAGACACCTGAACGCTCACATCCCCCCCCGGTCGTCTTCAAACCCTAAACACGCATAAACGCTACACTACACACTACACTCTAGACTCTGGACCCTAAAACGCAAACCGTAAGTGTATAGCTCCCCTAATCCGAGGCCCCTAACCTAACAAGCCAGACGTGTGAAGCTCCGGGGCCTCCCGTGGAACTCCTGACGCACGTCTTCCCTGAAGCCTTCAAGCCGATACCCTATAAACCAAAACCCAGTCTCCGTAGGCCCTAAAGCCCTAAATCCCTAGACCCCATCGCCCCAAAAACCCCTCTTGAGTTTGGTTGCGGCTTGGGTTTCAGTCTTTTCCTTGGGCTAGAGGCCAGTATATGGAGGACACCGGGCTTTGAACCTTGTGCGTCATGATACTTCCTGTTGGATTAATAAAGTTGTTTTCAGTAGGGCCAGAATAGGACACGTATCTTGAATAGTGTTGCACATGGTGTTTCATATTCGGCTGACCCAAATGATAAAGCCACTCGGAGGCAAAACCGGGCTAATATTGGAGCCTGAACGAGTTATGTCCAATATAAGCGCCTCAACTTTAAACAGTTTTCCATATTGTAGGGTTTGATCAGAGAGACGTTCTACTGAAGTTGTGGTCTACCAATGCGGCTTAGGGTTTAGGGTTTGCAGCTAGGGTTTAGGCTTTTGGGGTAGGATGAGGATTTGGGGGTTTCCAGGGTTTTATGTTTAGGGTTTAGGATTCTCTCTGCAAGGCGCAGCCAAAAGCGAAGCTCAAAGCTTGTGCAAAGATGTGCTGGGCTCAGGGCGTTGATTTTGATTTAGGGTTTAGGTCTTAAAGTTTAGGGTTGAGAGCTTGCACTTCGGGGCTCACGCATTTCAGTTTGCCGCGGGATAAAGTGCCAAGGTTTGGGTCGGAATGTAATGAAACTGTGGGGATGTGAATCAGAACTGGTTAGTAGTACTACCCTAACCAGAAAAAGGACACCCTGAAACGTTAGACAGTCCGTGAGCCCGACCGGCCCAAAAGCCTATACCCCAAATACCATGAGCCAAAGTTCACAGAATGACATCGAAAATCCAAACGTAGACCCTGGACTCTTCTTGTGTAGTCGAACATATGGTAAGGGTCGGATCAAAAGAAACAAGGCAACCAGCAAAGACTGTCACCATCCATGGTCTTTCTTCATTCGCCCCAGCCTTAAGCCCCAAGCACTAAAGCCCTCTCACCTAAAACTTTAAAAACCCTACGCCCTCAAACCCGAAATCCTGAACCCTGGAACCTTGGACCCTCAACCCTGAAAACTTCATCCCCTGAAGCCTGAAAGCCTAAAGCTTTACCGCCCCTCCCCGCCCCCCCTCCTCCTCCTTCTCCTCCTACCGAAAAAAGCCGAAACTCCTGAGGTTGGTCCGAGCGGGCCTCCGGTGCAGCTGTTGTTTCAGGCTTGCTTTTCTCGGCCTTTGGAAGCGCTGAATCAAAACTAGTAGCTGGCAGGTACTTAGTAGCAGCGTATGCAACCTTTAACTTGTTTGAGGTATTCCCTGTTAATCGCCAAGTTTAACCTTTAGATTTCAAGACATATGTTACTGGACAAGTAGGACTAGACTAGCACTGTTTTTCCTAATCTTTTGAGAGTTATCATGTTATCCCTTCCTGGGGTTTCTGCAACGGGGTTCCCTTTATTTGGGGTTTGCCTTTGAGGGGTTTAAGGTCGCGAGGGTTTAGGATTTACGGGTTTAGGGTTTTCCGTAGAGTGGCGCATAAGCGGACATATCTTGCGCCAGTGTAATGTCGAGTGCATTGTACTTTGACGATTGCGTCTGATCGTGGATGGCTGTTTCATTAGCCCTCCCACCCCACGCCGTCTAAGGCGGCCAAACCACCCAAACCCAGGGCAGGGGGCCAGGGTTCTGGAGACTGCATAAGCCTTGAGTACTCGTAGGGGGGGGTTCCTGCAAGGATTTCTTTAGGGTTTCATGAGGTTCAGAGTTCGAGGGTTATGGGTCTAGGCTCCTGTGGGGCTTTCCTGTAAGGGCTATCTTGAGTGTTTGACAGGGTTGCAGCTTTGGGGTGCAGGGTTGGTTAAGGTTTAGGATTTCTTCCAAGGGTTTGTTGAGGTTTCGGGGGCTTGAGGTTTAAGGTCTAGGGAAGTCAGGGTTTCAGGTATATAGGAGTTCTTACACGGGTTTCCGAAAATATTCCTGGAAGGGTTCAATATACTCTAAATCTCAAAATGCTCCCCAAAAAGCGTAAACCCACGCTGCCATCTTTCCTGGTTTGTCACGAGCAGGTTGCGCAGCGAGTGCCAAGCCAGAAAATGAGGCAGAGACCTCGTTGGGCCTGTCACAGGGCTTACCCTATGGCTCCCTGTAATTACTTATCTATCTATCTATCTATCTATCTATCTATATATATACATACATACATATATGTATATATACAGAATAAACTCAAGCCTTTGCAGCACCTATAATTTAGTTGCAAGAACCCCTTGAAGGCCTAAGTATATGCTACTTCGGCGCATGCAGCCTTAGGCTTACAGACCTAAGCCTTGAACCCTCGGACGATGAACTCTGAAGCAGGGCCGAAAAGATGCAAGCCTCCCTTGTATTGCCGGGGTCCTTATACCACGGATCCTACGTTTCAAGATTTACATCAGGGGTTTCCTCCTTTCGCAGCCTCTCAGGTGACTTTGCAAGTCCCGTCTCCACCAAGATTCTGTAATCCCATAATGCTGAATCTACCGAAGAATTCACGTCTTGGATAGTTTTTCTGAATATGTTAGACAAGGGTATCGGGGTGCATTGTAGTTTCGCTAAGTCTGTGTGTGTGTATATATATGTGTATACATATATTCACATATATCTATCTAATAAATATATATATATATATATATATATATATATATATATACAAACACATGTTCATATACCCGCAGTAGCCATAAGGAGATACGGTTGCTAATCATTCAGGCCCGTATCTTCCCAGAAGGATGATATATGCTCTGATCTACACCTCGCATGTTCTACTATGGTCTTATGTATGGAGCTTCCTTTCACAAGAGCGGTCTGATCATAAGTGTGTATATTATTCAACTCGCTAACGTCTTCAGCTTTCCAGCAGTGGGTTTCGAATGGGGTTGTGAAATGCCCCGGTGCGTTGGACCATCCTTGTGACCTGACGAGCCTACTCACACTCCTACTGCTACCACTGCTCCTCCTACCTACTACTACTACTACTACTACTACTACTACTACTACTACTACTACTACTACTACTACTACTACTACTACTACTACTACGACTACGACTACGACTACGACTACGACTACGACGACGACGACGACGACGACTACTACTACTACTACTACTGCAACTACGACTACGACGACTACTACTACTACTACTACTACTCCTCCTCCTCCTGCTACTACTACTACTACTACTGGTGCTACTGCAGGCTGCCTGAACCGCGTGTCCGTGGCCGCCGACATCTTCAAGCTTCACCGCGGCAGTCGCGATCAAAAGCTTACTTCGTGGAGTTCTGGGTTGCAAGCTTAAGTGGGGCCCTTGCGGGTTTAAGGTTCGTTTAAGTATTTTTGAGATACCGCCAAAACTTCGGTAACAAGGGTTACAACTACTTGTCTTCTGCTCCTCTTCGTCCCTTCTCGCTCTGCGGCTCGGCTGAGAGGCATGTTTATAGACTGTAGACCACCGGATATGGGTGCTATTTGTGGAAATGGCGTCTCCCTGAACCCGGACACCCCCAAACTCAACCCCTGAACCCGAGCCGTAAAACACCGAATTCCCAAACCCCGAAACCCAAACACGAACCTATCAATCCGACCCCCTCAACAGAGGTACTGCAATGCCGTGCCGAGCCACATCCGCTAGACCCCTATCAGTGCGAGGCGAGACACCGGCAAGGGTTTCAGGGTTTGGGGGTTCGGAGTGCGGGTCTAAGGGTTCAGTATTTGGGGTTGAAGGTTATTGAGTTTATTTGGGGTTGAAGGCGTTAGGGTTTTTTGGGGGGAGAAGGCTTTAGGGTTCATGTGGGGTTGAAGGCCATAGGGCTCTAGGGTTTAATTCGAGGTTGAGTGCTTTGTCCAGGGGTCAACTGGCGGATTTGCAGGTTGCAGAATCGAAGGTTTGACCGTTCATATTTGGTTCAGGCTTTTAGGGTGCATTTGGGTTGATGGTTTTATGGTTTCGGGTTGAAGGTTTGGGTGTTTAGGGTTGAAGGCTTCAGGGCTCAGGGTTGCAAGGTTCAGGGTTCAGGGTGCAGTCATGTAGGGTTCAGAATGTGCTTTGCTTTGTCAAGCTTAACTTTGCTTTTGCCCACTGCTCTTGCTCTGTTGCTCTGCTTCTAATTTTACTACTTCTTCCTGCTCTGTTGTTTGACAGGTTCTGCTGAGCCCTAAGCCTTAAGCCCGCTCTTGCACCATGTTCCGATTCGATATCGAGGCATAGCATCTGTGGGCGATCTCAAGGGTGGGGGTGGGCTCACAAGAAGCAAAGAGCTACTTGTGAGCTTACTACAGAAGCCTGAAGAAGTAGCACTATAAATGATTTGGGTTTCTCGGTTCATATGCCCGGAAATCCTCCTTTAGTTCTCGAGGTCCCTATATGACAGAGGTTTAGACACTTCTGGTGACATTGTCATGATTTCAGGCCTTCGATGGCCGGGGATCCTTGTTTAAGTTCCGCGGCTTGGTTTGCGTAGCTGCTTTAGTCCTACAGAGATTCATGCTCCCCGAAATGTACTTAACTGAAGGATCATGGGGCTCGCTCCGGGCTTCGCAAAAGTAAATTGTAGTTCAAGATAGTTACTGGTAGTAATGAATGACGACCATAACCCCAACTGAGGCACTTGGATCCTTATGTGCGAAGGCCCCAGGCCCTCAAGTCTTAAGCAATCGATAGGACAGCCGCTCATGGATAGCCATTGGAGAGCTTATCCATGTCTTGGCAGGGCACTGCCTACGTCAGCTTCCGCGACAAAGCGACCGCTTTGAAGGTGGACGAGATGATGATGCGGAATCCTTCTTGCAACATGTTCCGAGTCACCAAAATACAGACACTCATACTAGGGCTTACTAGGGACTCCAGCAAGAGCTTGGGATTTGGGTTTCTGCGGTCTCTTTGCTGGCTTCAAAGTGTTTCGGGTGTTAAGGTCACAGATGTGTTTCGTGCATCTTCCAGACCAAGGCAAAGGGGATACAAGCTGAACACCGCCTCAAGATGAGCATTCCTGCTCTGAACTACACCAAGAAATTGTCGAGGTTCAGCAAGTTACTTGGGGACGCTGCGAGGCTTGCCGCAATCCTTCGGAATGAATTAAGATGAATGCCGGGATCACAGAACATCATCTGCTGCTACACTACCACTACTACGACAACAGACAACAGTAAACGCAATAAGTGCTGACGGCTCAGGTCGAAGAAAAGAAAGGCTCTGCAATGCCATTCTCATCTCAACACCGTTTCTATCTGCTTTGTCGAGTTCCCAGGTTTGTGAGGCTTTGATGCTATCAAGGAGTGTTGTACCTTTTTGGGAAGGTGGGGTTGGTGTTTCGGGTTTATGAGGTCGTTAACTATGAGCCTTAGACCCTGAACCTAATTTCAGCATTCCGAGGTTGCTCTAGGGGCCTTAAGAATTACCTATACTATGTTCATTTTTGTTATGTATATATATATATACATATACATATACATTTTTTTTTTTTTGGGGGGGGGGGTGGGGTGGGGTTCCTTATTGCAATTATGGTATCATTGGCCCCCCAAAACCCTGTTCTAATTGTTAAGGGCGCTGTGTTCGCCTCCAGGCCCTTCGGGCTCCGCTCAAGTTCCCGGCGTCCCTGCACGATAAGGTGCGGGGGTGGGGGATCGATCGGAGGTCTTACCCAGAGAGCCCAATACCCCTTAATTAAGGAATATGGCTTATATCATAATATGAAGCCCTATATAATTTAAGCCATATTCCTTAATTAAGGGGTATTGGGCTCTCTGGGTAGAATGCAAATTCAGGGTTTGGGGTGCAGAGTTTAGGGCAAGGGTTTGAGTATTGAGTACATGAATGAATGTTCATGATTTGGGCTTTAGGTTGTAGTCGTAGTCTCTCACATATTTTTGTATAATGCAGGGTTGAAGATTTAGCTTTGTGGATGTACTTTGAGGGCTGCTGGAGATACGTTTAGATCAGAATACAGTAGGGCTTAGGTCTTCGGGCCAGGGGATTTCTAGTTCGATTTACGGAGTTCAAAGTGTAGGGTTTAGGGTTTAGGGCGTAAGGCTTGTTTAGAAGAGCTGGTAGAGTTGGGATGGAGACAGGGCTTCCCTCCAAATATCGGCTGTACCTTAGCATTACATCCTCTGCAGGGAGCCGAGCCGAAAGGTGGCAAGCATCTTTATCACAAGGATTGGCACAGACGGCTCCTTGACGTAACAGGTGACTGAACCACACACACACACACACCAGACCATTGACTTAGACCTAAACCCCAATCCCTCAACCCATGAACCCCGCAATCTCCATTTTAACCCTAAACCCCAAACCCTAAACCTTAATCCAATCATCACAAATCCCTCGAGCTGTACCGGCCCCGGTCCGAACCACCCTAAACGCCAATAGCCCAGAGCCTTATAGCTCTGTGAAACTGGCTAGAATAAATACCTATACTATTGTGAGTGTTCCCTATGATAATGATACTAGAATGGGCCCCCAACACCTTATTCCAATTAAATTATTAAGGCCTCTACATTAATAATGCTGTCCTCTTTACTTTAAGATAGGGATGCTGCAGAAACACAAAATGCTCGCTTCAGGCCCCATAGTGCAGCATAATAAGAAGTTAGTATCATTACTGTGCGGGCCTAAATATGATTATAGAGTATAACATACCCCAACACCTTCTTCTATACACTAAGACCCGTTTATTGTTATCATTCTTAAGGAACTCTGAAGTTTCACTTTTGCAGCTCTGGTCCCACCTCATGCCCAGGTTGTCAGCATGCGGCACCTCGACACGGCGGGGCTCTCAGACCTTACGCACCACCTCATCACTATTCGGTTTTTGAGTTTGCGAAATCAACGAGCCGCAAGAAGTAGAATAGGGCTTGGAGCCAATTAAAGTATTACAAGGAACCCTACGGCATTGAGGGGTAATATTAGCAATAAGTTTAAGAGTTTCTCACACCTGTACATCATCGTTCTTGATTGACCTTGCGTGTAGCCGCTGTTGCAACTTGACCTTACAGATCTAGCGTTAGGGATGGAAACTGCAAGGCTTGCGGCATATTGCAGATTTGGCGCCATGTGTCGTGGGGTTGCCTCTTAATTATTTGCGCGCTGGCTGTAACCCCGAGATTATTCTGCAACAGATCAACACCCGTACTGCACCCACATCGACAGAGAAAAACACCAAACCGAGCCTCTCGTCCCAAAGCCGCATGGTCAAGACAGGCCACAACTGAAACCGCTAAGCTCTTACCCTTCGCAACCCGAAACTCTTCAACAAAATTTCTTTATGTTGCAATCCTGATGCCTCCTAGCCGTAGAAGGCCCTTGCCTCCCTTCCACCGCATCAAAAGCCCTAAAACCCCTGAACTCGACATCCTGAGAACCACATGCAACCCGAACCCCCAAAGCTGAAAAAGCTTAGCTCATCACTGCAGACCGTAAAGGGAACTCCAGAAAGTTGGAATATGGATTAATGGTAGGATCCCCTATAATTTACCTTAAAAGGGGTTACGATAATGATATTCCAACTTTCCGGCTTCTACTGTAGTTTATCTGCAGCCGCTCAGGACAAGACCAATGATCCGCAGTATCTCGTGAAGGCCCTCCTGGCTTTCGGATTCAGGGCTTGGGCTTTAGGGTTTAAGGTTTAGGGTTTAGGGTTTAGGGTTAAGGGTTTAAGGAGGTTAAGGTTTAGGGTTTAGGGATGTAGGGTTTAGAGTTTGGGATTGAGGGCTTAGGGTTCGAAACCCTAAACCCTACATGAACCCTGAACTCAGAACCCTTATAAACCAACAGAATCAAGCCGAAGTAGACCCTAAGCCCTAAATAAACCGTAAACCACAAACCCACACACCCCGAACCGTCCAAGCTCCGCGGCGTGTCTTAGAACCACGCTGATGTGACGTTTCCGTAGTATAATAGGGCCCTAAATACCGAATTGTGCTGAGGTTTAGGCGAGGCCCCTCCTGTTCCGAAGACATCACATGACCCTCGACCCCCATCGATGCCTTAATGCGACAAATAGAAAGAAATATAGTCACAAGAGCAGTAAGACTATTAATGGTGCGCCTGAAAGTGCTGCCTTTTCAGGCGAAGTTCTTGAACCGGCAGTTGCTGTACATCGCGCGACAGCTCCATGTCCAGGTGCCTCCCAGTTTATAAATGTCAAATCGTAATCTGCAGCTTTATAATGGACTTTACGGCTGAGAGAAGCCCTAATGCCCCTCCAAAATCTGCAACGACTGCAACAGCTGGTTGGGTTCCACTACAGACAAAGCTGAGTTTCCAGAATCTGCCCTGTGATGCTTGAGACTCCAGGGCGCTGCAGCTTAAGGTCAGGTTTTTTAACTCAGAGAGAAAAGTGTGCTGAAGCATTCTTCCCAACTTCTGCCAGCACTTCTTGTGCGGCGCGAGGAACTGCAGTAAACTCTGCAAGCAGGTGGGTATAGGCGATTGTTTCAGCTCGTGCGTTCGTAGCTGCAGCCCTTCCATGCTTGTGAAACCCTAGACCCTAAACCCTAAATCCTAAACTAAGGCTTCTGAGATGTCCCGGAAGATCCCGGTGGCTCTGACGTTTGGGGCGGTATTTGACACACCCTTGAAATTTGAACCGCTGGGAACCCTTTAAACTTTAAAACTCTTATGAGACCATAAACACCCTGTAAAAACCCTAAACCCCAAACCGTGAAATAGCACAGTGCTTTACACCACAGGAGCCCCTGGAGAGTTTAACTCATGCCTCTCTTTACCTACTTGGAGGTTCACGGGCAGCTACAAGTGGGGTCTCTCAGCTAGGATTTAGGGTAATATGGGTTACAATTATTGTTACCCCACTTCTAGCTCCATTTTTAACTACCCATGTACCTCCAAGTAGTTTGTACAGGAATGCAGCACGCCAGCCTTGACCATAGCGCCTCCTGAAGTGGGCACGATGCAGACCCGGATTCCTAATGTAGAAGCCGGAGCAATTGCCGATACTATTCAAACACCTTCACAGAAACTATGCTATAAGAAAGCCCCGAGCCCTATTCTAATTATTAAGGCTTCTACGTAACCGCACAAACAGAACATGTCCAAAAACCAGCACCACCCCACGACTCGAGTGCTCCGGACTGCCTGGAACTCCATTTCGCTTGCGACACCTGGGCCCCTCAATAGCTTCCATCATCCCAAGCCGACTTTCTGCCAGCTTCTTGCAGATCCGCATCTGCGAGGCCTCATTGCGGGCTGGGGGAGATCAGAGGTTGCAGGTTTGGGGGGAGAGAGCGAGAGTTTTCCCACTGCCACCCTGCGTATACTTTGGGATCTTGGGATTTAGAGTTCCAAGTCTTAGGAGTCTTTATGCCCCCCCCAAGCCCTAAAGCTCGAACCCTAAACAGTGGCCGTTGAAGAAAGAAAGCCGTAAGCCCCAAACCCTGGCCCACCTCAAACCCTGAAACACAGGCATTGGCAAGCCACTGGCGAGCGTGGGTTCCGGTATTGTTGAGCATGAGGCCAGCTGCTGGCTGTCGGCTACGATTCGATCAGGGTTTAGGATATACAGGTTTACCCTGACCGACCCAAACCTACTTTTCTGCAGGCTCTTGTTATAATCCCGAACAATGAATTCAAAAAAGGACCCTACGAAAACGTAGGTTCTGGTAGGTTGAGGAAGGGTGAAGGCACAAACCTGAGCAAAAAGAAATTGAAGTTAATATCCCGACAGAAGGGTTAATAAGGTTTAAGCAGTTGTGCCTGTCTGCTGTTTGGGCTCAGAAGGGCTTTCTGGGCCTGCGGATTCAGGGTTTTAACGTGTTCGTCAGTTCAGACTCTTCGGCTTGCGATATAGGGCTGTTAGGAATTTTAGGGCTGTTAGGAATTTTGGGGCTGTTAGGAATTTTGGGGCTGTTAGGAATTTTGGGGGCTGTTAGGAATTTTAGGGCTGTTAGGAATTTTGGGGCTGTTAGGAATTTTGGGGCGGGGCTTTGGGCCGGCAGTGTTTGTTGTGGTGTTCACTTTTTTTGGCTCTTGTTACAGGGATTGGGGGGTTTGAGGAGTTTTGGGAGCTTCGGCTACGAATTGAAGACGGCGCCACCCACGTGGTGGAGGCTGGACAAGCTTTTCAAACGACTGCCAGCCCCAAAAGGCAAGACGAGCGAGTCAGCACTCCATCCACCCGGATTGCCTTCTTCACGCAGTCTGCGGTTTCTTTCGGGGTATGCAGTGGCACCACTAGGAAAAACACAAAGGACCACAATTGAAAAAGAACAAGCGATAACACTATAGTCAATATACTACAGAATAGTATAGCATAGTGCGTTGTAGTATGGTACAATATATAGTAGACTATAGCCCAGCATGGTGCAGTACAGTACCGCACGGTACGTAGTATGGTATAGTTTTTTACTATTGGTATAGTAGTATAGTTTAGCATCGCATAGCGTAGTACCATACAGTACAGTACCGTACATATGATATTATACAGTCTAGTGCAGCTGTGAAGTATACTATGCATTACTAACATAGCACGCAGACTGCGATGGTATGTGATGCTTTGTGATGCTTCGCAATCCCAGAAGCTAAGTCGAATCCCTGAACCCCGATTCTAAAACCCCTATACGGTAATACACCGTATATAATTTTCCGAAACCCTAAACTCCTATAAAGGACCCCTTAAATCCCCTAAACCCTGAACCCGCAACCTCTGCCGCCCCATGGGGCTTTCGTAAATTCTTGTCAAAGCCAAACAACGAGCTACTCCTAAACCTTCTAAAACTTGTACGACCGCAAGAATCAACCCCTCAAATCCTAAAACCCTGAAGCCCTATAAACCCTAAACCCTAAACTTCCCTAGACCCTGAAACCCAAAGCCCTCAACTTCCCTAACCCCTAAAACCCTAAAACCCTGAAGTTCCGGAAAACCTAAAACCCTCAACTTCCCTAAGCTTCCCTGACCCCCAAAACCCAAGACAGAACGCCTTCGGCGAGGCCCTGGAGCTCCAAAACCCTAGAACCTTGAATCCTAAGCCCCGAAACCCTAGAACCCTAAAGCCTTAAACTCTATAAGCCCTAAAACCCTCAACTCTGTAAACCCTAAAACCCCAAACTCTGTAAACCCTAAAACCCTAAACTCTGTAAACCCTAAAACCCTAAACTCTATAAGCCCTAAAACCCTAAACTCTATAAACCCTAAACCCCCCCCAAAACCCAAAAAACGACCACCTTCGGCGAGGCCCTAGAGCTCCCAGAGCCCAACTTCGCCGACCCGGCTGGGCCCGAAGCCGCGGCCTTCCGGGCCCCCTGGGGCCGAGGCGGTCCAGGGCCTCTTGGAGTTTACATGGTTTAATAGGGATTATAGGGTTTATAGGGATTCTATATAGGGTTTATAGGGCTCATAGGGTTTATATTAGAGGTTTAAAGAGGTTTATAGAGGGTTTATAGGGTTCAGGATTTAGGGTTGAGAGGTTTAGAGGGCTTATAGGGTTTATAGGTTATAGGGTTCAGGATTTAGGATGTAGGGTTTAGGGTTTATCAGACTTTGGGCTTGGGGTTTTAGGTTCAGTGTTCAGGGTTTAAGGTTCAGGATCCAGGATTTAGGCTGTAGGGTTTAGGATTTAGGTTTTTGCTTAGGGTTTAGGGTTTATTAGGTTGTTAGGCTGATAGGGTTCAGGGTTTAGGGAGTGTTGGGTCAACGGGCTCCTTGTTCTTGTTTTTTTTTTTGCAGGCTCTTTTTTGCCAGGGTTTATCGGTCATATAGGCTCTTTTGTGTTTGCTGGGTTTTTTGTGATAATTGGAATTCTTTGCGGGTTCGCAGTGATTTAGTGTTTAGATGTGCCTTTAGGCATTTTCCCGGATTTGCTGCAGGACTTTACACACACACAGAGGCAGAGACAAAGACACACCCACACCCGTACCTGCACCCGGAACCGCAACCACATCCGCAACCGCACGCAGGCACGCACGCAAGCAATCACGCTCTGTCTCCCTTCCTGTTTCGATCCGCTCAGACGCAACAGTAGCTCTAATGCAGTAGTAGTAAATCGTTGTCAATCTGGCAGGCGGCGTGCCGATGTCCCAGAAAACCTATGGTGTTCTGACTCGGCAAGTGCCTGCCGAGGTGGGCAGGGTTGGGCTTAGAGTGCGAGTTTAATTCTTGAGGATTTAGGGCTTAGGGTTCGGGCACAGTACCGCGATATCTTACACACGTTTGTTCGGGGCTTGAGTTTAGAAGGTCCTCCTCATTTCGACCCGATTACAAGATCTAAGGCAATGGGGCCTCAGGCCCAACATCTTGAACCTCTGTTTCGGGATCTTGCTCCACATGCCATGGACCTGTCGATTTTTGTCCATGCATTGCAGAACCTTTTCTGCCCTAAACCCTTATAAGCCTAAGCCCCTGATCTGTTCGAGGAGGCCGTCCTGAAACGCTTTGGGAGTTGGGCCGTCCGGGACCAAGTGCAGATGCAAAGTCAACGCGCCAACCTTGGCCGATGGCTAGCTTTGCGTAGACCTGCAGCTCAAAACCCTGAAAGCGTCGACGGGTTTAGGGTTTATAGGATCTAGGCTTTCGGATTCCTAGGCGGTTTCAGTTCCTTTCATCCTATGCCCTGCTCAAACTGTAATTTTATGGAAGGTACTGTAAACAAAAGAAGCTTATGCAGCTCTCATGCAGCGAAACCTTATGGAACCCCGTAGGAATGTCATGGAGCCCGTAGAGGACGCAAACCCTAAAGCCTGAACCCTAAACCCTGCGCTTAGCGCCAGAATAGCTGTTTCTAAAAGTATACATGATTGAAAGTGCCAGGAATGATCGTCATCGGCAACAAGTGTTGTTACTGGCTGAACGTGCTTACTCTGTGGTTCACAGACACTTTTACTATGGAGCAGTCCTGTGACATAGCTTGTTTATGCAGTCATCTTATAAGGAGTCTGTCTTCAATTGGAAACCCCAGCTCCTAAACCCTAAACCCTTAAATTCGAAACCCAAAAAGCCCTGACCCTAAGCCCAAACAACCCTTATGATGGGACCCGTTGCCTCTGCGCCTCTCTGAGGAATTTCTGGGGCAGCCGCCCATGGAAGAGCTCTTCGCGCTCGAGCTGCGGAGGTTTCTCAAGAGGGTGCTAGGTTATGGGGCTTCCGAGTGTAGTTCTTGTCCTCTAAGGCTTGAAGGTGATAGGATTTTGGGCTTAGGGATTAAGGCATTTAGGATTAATGAATAGTGTTCAAGAGGGACCGAGGTTATAGGATCTCGATAGGCCTTTGGGGCTGTTATCTGCCCCTTGGTCGTCAGCGGATCCTTTGCAGGAATTGAATTCGGTGGGCTTTAAGGTATAAGTTTGAAGCATTTAGAGAAAGTTGCGCTTGGATCGGAGACTCGTTTGAGGCTTTTTCAGGGTTGAGGGTTTGGAGACACCTTAAATCCTAAACCCCGAACCCTAAAAGCTATAAGCCCTAATCCCCCCCTAACTTTTGTGAGACCATACTGGGTGAGTGCTGCGAGGCCAATGGGTTCATCTGCTCCCGGACCAGATGGCGAATCTGGCGCCTTGGTCCCTGAACCCTAAGCCCTAAACCCTAAACCCTAGACATGACGAGCCTCAACGTAACCCCCTAAACCCTGAACCCGACACCGTGGCACACCCTAAACCCCTTGTGAACCCTAATCCTAACACCCATGGAGATTAGTGGCAACGGGGGTTGCATGTATGGCCCTTCTAATACGAGACCCCGAACTCTGGCCCCAGAACAATCACTCAGCCCTCGCCACAAAGCCCGTAGCCAAGGGTGCTGGGTTCAGGGTTTAGGGATAGGAGTCCCGAAAGACTTCTGAGTATACTGACGCCAAACCTCCAGAAAAGATGACCCTCGTCGCTATCTGAAGGTTATGTAGAGTCTGAGGAGACAGCAAGCAACCGCAAGCGGGCTGACCAGTGACTGCGGCAGATCAAGCATGCCAGTTCCAAAAGCAAGCAATGGATCCTCAATTTATGCCTCGGGCGTGTTCTAGCCGAACCCCCCTTGGGCCTGTTCTGGACGAGCCCAGACACATTCATCGACCCTGCATCACGACAACCATGCTAGACAATGGCTACCACGAACGTGCGAGGTGATGTGCGGGTTTCACTGGGTTTTAGTCTAGTCCAGAAGTATCAATGCTCTGGCTGCCTTCATCATTGCTTTTGTGGAGATCAAAACAAATCTGCCAACCCATACTTCTCATTGTCACACTCCAGGAACGGATGCAGCAGCGGACGAAGAGGGATCCGAGGCATCAGTTCCTCGTGACAGACGCTGTGTAGTGGAGGGGCTGCAGCTGATGAAGGTGTGTAGTAGTAGGCTTTGAATGAAATCTCAGCAACTTCCTCGCAACCCCCTGGGCACACAGAGCACGACCTGTCAGACACAAAACCCCTGCTCACCATTTCTTGTGGCCAGGTGGTCGTCCGACCACGACTGGTATCCTGGCTTGTTGCACAAGGGACCTCTTGGAACGCAGCATAGATGTTTGACACTCCTGCCGTATTTACGATCTAGAGTTCTGTTACGGTTTATTTGGGGATTGGTAGGGCCTAGAGTTAGAGTGCTGATGAAGTGGTAGGCTGCCAACAAAGAACCCCGACACCAGGCCTTGTCCTCTGAAACTCAGCTGAATGCCTTCCAGGTCAAGACGCTCCAACCTGTTGGCCCAAGTAACTCTGTGCCTCGTTCATGTTGCAAACCCTAAGCCCTAAAGCTGAGCGCTAAATTGAAGAGTTCAGGATAGTAAGCTTAGTAAACCAACCGTACAGATTATTGTGACTCGACATAAACCCGAAGCACATGCATTCTGAATCCAACTGCGTAGTGGATCGGTGCAGAGGAAATTTGGAGCCGGAACATCGCCGCCGTAAAACCCCAAAGCTCTTCTTTCCCTAGATGAGACGATTCCCGTCCGGCTCAAGCCAGTGGTGGCCTCTTGTTAGGAGGTGAAATTCGCGTGGCAAGTGATGTGCATGTTTATTTAGCCTTGCTGGAAAATACATGTATGCATACGTATGTGCGTAGTACAGTATGGACAGGACAACAAGTAACAAGCAGATTGTCAGGTCTATAATGCTTCCCTAGTGGACTGCCGAACTTTGAACCAGGAGCCTCAAAAGCCGCAGCCGAAAAGCCCTCAAGCCCAAACAGCTATAGTTCTAAAACTCCTGAATCCGTGAGCCAAAAAAAACCCAATGCCTGAACCCTGTAAACCTTAATGATTCAGCTTCTAAGAGCTAGAACCCCAGGGCATGAACTTTTGAACTCTACAACCTCCCCGACCCCGACCCCAAAACCCCAAACCATACAAGCCCTAAGCCCTGAACCCTAAACCCTCAACCCTAACCCCTGCGCCCTAGACCGCGGCCTCAGCACCTGTGCGATGCCATGGCCAAGCGCAAGCTCAGTCCACCAAAGCAGGTGGAGGCTCCACAGTGATTCGGGTTGAGGGAGGGGTTTAGGAGTTTAGGACTTCAGGGATCTCGGATTAAAGGTTTAGGAGTTGAGGGCTTGCAGGGGGCTTGAGGCTTTAGGGTTTCGGGTTTAGCCCAGATTACTAAGGCAGCAGCTATCCGTATTTGGGAATCCTAAAAAGATGGATCCTACTATTTTGGGCACTACAGTGAATCCCAGAAAGTTGGAACATGGGTTTAGGATGAATAATGCTGGGAGCTCCTAATTATACTTTGCCTTAAGGGCAAGAGGATAGTGATGTTCCAACTTTCTGGATTCTACTGTATATTACGGCCCAAATCAAGGCGCACAGCCGAAGTAGCGATGGCACAGCTTTCAGAAGGAGGGTATCCTTCACACCCCCCGGGCCCGAAACCCTTGCAGGTCAAGCGACAGGGCGTGCTGGACTTGAGCCATTTGAAGCCATGCCTGCGGCTGTCGGGAGCTCAGTCAGATGTGTAGTTCGGCTTTAAGCCGCAACTGGGCTTGAGGGGAGCCGGGTTCCAAGAACCTCTTTCCTCTAAAGGGAACTCCAGAAAGTTGGAATATGGTTCAAGGGTAGGATCCCCCATAATTTACCATAAAGGGTTTAGGATAATCATATTCCAACTTTCTGGCTTTTACTTTAATCCTTACTAAACCCACAAATCCCTCAAACAAGGTATGGCGAACCACTGGTCAGGACTTTCTACGTCGATGTCAGAGACCGGCTGTAGGGTTCGTCAGCCTGAGGGGGAATAAGCTAGGTCCTGGGTTACCCTTGGGCGAGATTTTCTCTGTTTTTTGTAGCATCAGACTCCAAAGGATGATTCAGATTCTGACTCGGTGTCTAAGGCGGCTATGACTATGACAAGTTGCAAGTCTGTCAAGAACTTCAGACCTGCTACAAACTAACCTTTTTTAGGGTTTAGGGGTTTAGGGGTTTAGGGTTTAGGTCAAGCCCCCAAAACCAGAAAACCCGATCCCAGAAAAGGGGCCTCAGCAACCTTGCACCTCGCGGCTTGAAGGATCCGATACCTATTTTGCACCACTCCTGACTACAATTAAAGGGGCCTGAATAATTACCAATACTATCTTGGAGGTTCCTGATTATAAGTATGGTATAATGGGCCCCAAAATCCTATTCTAGTTACAGACGGCTTCGTAAAGGCTCGTGAAACACTTATAAAGATCCTTCGAGACACTGCTGAGGTTTAGGGTTGCGGGTTTAGGGCTCCTTACTGATCCTCCTTGTACGTCGAGTTTTTGTAACTGATACACCCTAAGCCCGCAACCTTGATAAAACCCTAAACCTTAAACTCTAAGCACTAAACCCTAAACCTTAAACCTTAAAATCTAAGCCCTAAACCCTAAACCTTAAACCTTAAACTCTAAGCCCTAAACCCCAAACCCTAAGCCCTAAACCGACGAGTTTCTAAGGAGGGCCGCAGATGTCGAGGCTGGCCAAGGAGACGTTGTTTCCCCGGGTTGGGGGATTAGGGTTTAGGGTTTAGGGTTTGGTGGTTTAGAGCCCTGTAAGCATTTCACATCTTAGACGGCGTTTAGAGGCTGCAAGGGTTTCGTTGGGTTCTTGGGGGGGGGGGGGGGTGTGTTGAAGCGATCTGTTCAGTTTATGCTGAGGCTTAAGGTTTGTACAAAGGCATAATCAAAATAAGAAACCCTGAGGAATACTATTGGCAACAGTTTAGGCTTCAGTAATTTCGTGCGGTGGCGGCTCTACGGACCACAAGACAACGGCGACCACTGCTGCCAGTTTCGCAACAAGGTGTACGTGTGGTTGAAGGCCTGCTTCGGGTTGGGGTTTACAGTGTTTTTGCTAGGCTTCGTGTTTGAGAGTTCAGGGTTTGGGGGTCCACATGCATTCTGCGTTCACCAAGCGTTTGCAAGAGTCCATTGACACATTGGAGCCACGTACAACCCTTAAAGAAGCTTCTTAACCCCGAAACCCTAAAGCCTAAACCCCTAAACCTCAAGCCCTACACCCTAAACCTTAAACCCCTAAACGCCAAACCTTAAACCCCTAAACCTCAGCCCCTAAGCTCAGATCGGCCCTTTGAAGGAGAACTGACCTTCCAGTTCAAGAAGACTCCGGCGGGGTCCTTGGGCGTCGCAGGTCGGCTTCGGTGTTCAACGTTACTTCAAGCCCCTCTCCGTAAGTAAGGATGAGAATGGCGGCTGAAATATTCGGGCCTTGCAAGAAAGGGTGCTATTAATCAGGGTTCTACAGTGCTCCCATCCGCCAACAAGTTCCACAGACGGCTTACACCAACACAGAACCGCACAAGCTTGAACATTTTGAGACGGAAAGCTTGTAGCCCTTCGATTTCGGGTGCAGGGGAGTGGAGGCTGATGGCTTTATGCTTGGATCAGCTGAGGCATTGCTTGTTGCTGCACGAGGCTAAGGGTAAGTGCTCTCCTGCATTGCGGTGTTCCACCAACGTACGAAGACATACATGTGCAATGTGGCGCTGAGAGAGGTTCGTAATGTAGAACAAATCCCTAAACCCTAAATGCTAAACCCTGAACCGCTAAAACCCTAAACCATCAAGCACAGCAGAGAGGATTCGGACTCCGGACTTGCGTGCTCCTAGAAGAGCAGCCAGTCTCCTCTTCTGGTCGGAGCTTCTTGCGGTTTCGGGTTTAGGGTCCCGACCCCAAGTAAAACCGTGTGCCCGGGACCCCGAAAGATTCACGTTTGTGCCGGAGGTTTCTGCTTAGGGTGTAGGGCGTTCGGGGCTTACCTGCTTTTCTGAGCCTTTTCCGAGCCGGGTTTTCCTGAGGTGAGCCCAACAAGGACCGTCACAGATGCCCAAGAGTTCCTGGACATCTTGGCGAAAGCCACGTGGACCCGACTTGTTAAGTGTTTAGGGTTAGCAGTTTAGGGGGTTCTGAAGACAAGGGGTCCCTTCTTGAATTTCCATTTTAGAAATCTTGTGTTGAGGGACTGTCTTAAGCTTGGGTGCAGGCTTCAAAGCTTCCGTTAGGTGAGCAAAAGCAAAAGGCCCAGAACCTTCAGCCTCAGCAGCACGCACCGCAGGAAGGAGACGTTCGGTTTCTGGATTTCTTGTCCTCGGTCCGTGTTTAGTTTAGTTTGAGGTTCAGCTTTGATTGAACGAGCTGTGAAGGTGGAGCCGGCCCCTAAACCCTAAATCCAGCATGGTCCGTGCACCAGCCAAAGTTGTGCAGTCTCTCACGAAGTTAATGCACTATTCAGCAGGTCTCTACCCAACTGAACTGACAGACCCGATGAGTCCAGAGCACTCCCAGCAAAAGAGTCAAATGCCAAAGCCCTCTACGATGAGACAAAGCAAGATGAGGAGCTCGCAACAAGCACAGCGTTGTAACTGTAACAACCCTATAAACCCTGAACCACAGCGTCGTTGGGATTATGTCTAGAGAACTGTTTCAGGGTTCGGGAGAATCATGCCACTTTAACGCGTTGATTTCTGCCCCGGGCCCGACCCTTAACCCTAGATGTAAACACATAAAAAGCCCCATAAACCCTATCAGCCCTCTTAGCCCTTTAAACCCTCTAAGTCCTCTTAGCCCTTTAAACCCTCCAAGTCCTCTTAGCCCTTTAAACCCTCCAAGTCCTCTTAGCCCTTTAAACCCTCTAAGTCCTCTTAGCCCTTTAAACCCTCCAAGTCCTCTTAGCCCTTTAAACCCTCTAAGTCCTCTTAGCCCTTTAAACCCTATCAGTCCTCTTAGCCCTTTAAACCCTCTAAGTCCTCTTAGCCCTTTAAACCCTCTAAGTCCTCTTAGCCCTTTCAACCCTCCAAGTCCTCTTAGCCCTTTAAACCCTCTAAGTCCTCTTAGCCCTTTAAACCCTATCAGTCCTCTTAGCCCTTTAAACCCTCTAAGTCCTCTTAGCCCTTTAAACCCTCCAAGTCCTCTTAGCCCTTTAAACCCTCCAAGTCCTCTTAGCCCTTTAAACCCTCTAAGTCCTCTTAGCCCTTTAAACCCTCTAAGTCCTCTTAGCCCTTTAAACCCTATCAGTCCTCTTAGCCCTGTAAACCCTCCAAGTCCTCTTAGCCCTTTAAACCCTCTAAGTCCTCTTAGCCCTTTAAACCCTCCAAGTCCTCTTAGCCCTTTAAACCCTCTAAGTCCTCTTAGCCCTTTAAACCCTATCAATCCTCTTAGCCCTTTAAACGCTCTAAGTCCTCTTAGCCCTTTAAACCCTCTAAGTCCTCTTAGCCCTCTAAACCCTATAAGTCCTCTTAGCCCTTTAAACCCTCTAAGTCCTCTTAGCCCTTTAAACCCTCCAAGTCCTCTTAGCCCTTTAAACCCTCTAAGTCCTCTGGGCCCTCTAAACCCTATAAGTCCTCTTAGCCCTTTAAACCTATCAGCCCTCTTCGGCCCCACAGTTTCCCAAAAAAGCGCTACAGGAGCCCTCAAGCCAAGCATCTGTGGCCAAGGAGACCCGCAAGGGAGATGCCACGCACGAGGCCTTCTCATGCGCGAGCTGAAGCCACGAACCCTACACCCTAAATCCCAAATCCGAAACGTCATCGACCTTATACAGCCCAAAAGACCTAAACCCTTTCTTGTGAACCCCCAAAACCCATGAAATTGCAGACCAAAAGAACCTGCAACTGGAAACCCGATGCCGTGAAGACCCACAGTTCGAATGGATTTAGGGTACTCCAACCTCCAAAGGCTTAGAGGTGAAACTCAAGGTCAACTAAAACCCTTACAGCCCGTAGAAGCGAAGTCCTGATGGCTGACAGCTGTCCGACCGAATCCTAAAGCCTACCCAGAGGCCCCATAGTAGTTCCTGTTGGGGATTACCTCATAAGATTCTAAAAAAAAGGACCCCAAAAAGGAACTACTTTGGGGCCTTAGGGTAAAGCCCAAACTCGAAGCCCCGAGTCTTACAGCCGGGCAGAACTGGCTGCGACAGCCTGCGCGGCGATGGTGCAAGCAGATGGCTTGCCCCTGAGTGCTCTCACAGCTCTGCTTTGCGCGGTTCAGTGTGTAGAGTTTACGGTGTAAGGGCGCCGATAGAGTAAGGCAGATCCCCAATAATGAGAGGGGCCCAGTTGTTAGGGTTGAGGGCTTTAGGTTCTGTAAGAACTGGGATCCATGTTGAAACCATGTTGCATTCCTTTGTAACTAGGGGGGGCCTTCTTGTTCATCCGGGCTCTGCAGGGTTTCCCCCCCGTTGAAAGAACCATGGGGGCCTTAATGCCTGGAGTACTTATGTTCATGATGGGGAGCCTAGTATTACTAAGCATTCCGCTTTCTGCATCAGCTCAGCGCAGGACAGTGTTGTGAATTTTCGTTTGCTGGTAGGCCTCAGACAAAAAGCAACCAAGCCAAACATAGCCAGTGCCATTGGCTCAAGGCAATACGGAGGCTTCGCTGTTCCGTGATAGCCATCTTGTTAATGAATAAAGACCCTATTCAGGGGTCCAAAAATTGCGTTGGCTACAACGGAAACTCGTATGTTCCTTGTTCTACCGCTGCGAAATGCTGTAAATCCGCATGATTTCCGGCGGAGAAAGGAGCATTCCGCACGAGGAGATACAGAACGTGAGAGGTTTGAAAACCCTAAACCCTAAACCCTGAGAGCTTTGAAGAGGCGCCCGAATCATCTGCGTGGCTTTCCCCTAGGCCCCGGCCTGCTCCAAAGCACCTGCGAACGAAAGAAACAATGCACACCGGTACCATGTGGGCCTTAATAACTACCTAGTTATATTTTTTGGGGGTTCCTTATTATAATTATAGTATAATGGGCCCCAAACCCTATTCTAATCATTGCAATACCTTTGTATTAACGCCAAAGATATGTAAACCCGAAATGCGAAAGCATATGCGCAAACCCCGCACACAAGCTGCAAAATGCAAATACCAACAAAAGGCAACTGGAACCCAACAAAAACACGCAAACTCGGAACACAAACAACATCCCAAGCATATCCAATGTCAGCATTATTCCTATATAAGTATTAAGGCCCCTATGGTACTTGCAGAGAGGTTGCCGAGCTGCCCAAAGAACGGCGGCGCAGGCTGCGACAACGTTACCACTACCTCGAGGCTGGTGCTCCTTTAAAGGTTCCTTAAAGGGGTCAATAAAGGGAACTATAGTAGCGTTCTAGAATGTAGGGGCCAGACTATTTTTTTTTGGGGGGGGTCCTTGTTTATGATACTGTAGTTATAGTATAACGTGCCCCAAAATGCTATTCTAGTTGTTCAGGCCCCTATATTAGCGCTGCAAGGTCAGTTCGGGCTGATGTTTTATTGCAGCCTATAGGGTTTACCGTTTATGGATGAAAGAAGCGTGTTGCCTTAAGCGCCAAACCCAAAACCGAATCGTGACAGTGTGTTCCAACCCAAGCTAGAAGGACGTTTTCTGACGAAGTTGGAGTACACCTGCAGTCTCCAGCGCAGGAGAAAGGAACCAGGACCGTCTTATCGACCCCGAAAACTGGTCGAGTCCTTTTTATACGGACGCTTTGCGAAACCCCCGTGTCGGTACGAGGAAGCAATTGAGGTAAAAGTCAGCTACTTTTACTTATATCACCCTCATCAGTAAACCTTCAATCCTGACCCCTAAACCCTGAACCCCAAACGCCAAACCCTAAGCCAATCAAGAAGCACTGGGCTCTTGTTGAAGAGTTTAATTGCAGGTACCATAATAAGGAAACCCCATTACATATTTACTATAGACCAACCCCAAACCCTAAACCCTAAACTCAACAAGAACCCAGTTGAGCTTCAACTTCATGGATCGGTTTGCCTCGGGGTCGATTAGGGTGCCACCCAGGAGTCGGCAGCGGCCGAGGCAAGGCCATGCTTGGTGCCACTTTTTTTTTTTGGGGGGGGTGGGGGGGTGGGGGGAAAGGTTCGGGTTTAGTTTGGGGCCTTTAGGGTTTCGGGTTTAGGGAGTTTAGGGGGGGTTTGGGGTTTAGGGTTCAGGCTTTAGGGTTGCGGGTTCAGGGCCTTTAGGGAGGGTGTAGGCCTGATAGAGTTAAGGGTTCAGGGTTTAGGCTTTAGGGTTTAAGTAAACAGGGATCGGGAATAGTAGTTCACGATATTATGCCCGCTTTGTCCCAATGTGAATCTAGTAGAGAATAACCCCTACACGTTTGGTTCTCGGAGATTTGCCATTTTGTGTGCAGATGGGCCAATGGGGGCTTGATATGAGGGGTGCGTTTTGGGTGTTTGTGTATGTGGATCCGAGATTTGGGTTTGTATTGGGATCCTACACTTCGCTTGACCTGTGTCGAGATTTGGAGAGGTATCGTCCTCAGCCTGCGAGGTAAGTAGTGATCTAAATTTAAAGCTCTTAAAATACCAGAACCTTGAACCCTGCAATAACTAAAGACCGAGCCAAGACCTGTATTTGACGCTGTGCAAGAAGCCTTCAACCCAACGTCAGGCATTCTGGTGCCTTGCCCTCAATCCCAGCAATTTCGTTTCGGGAAAAAAGCTTAGGGTTTTTGGGTTTAGGGTTCAGGATTTGCGCGCCCGGCCATTTTTGAATCCTACGCCCAGCCCAACTGATACGAAAGCGACAGAAAGCGAGACGAAGAGCAGCTTCGCCTCACAGAGGAAGACTTCATGAACCGCTGGGGAGACACCTCCGTGACTTGGCCTCAACCTAAACCCCAAACCCTAACCCTCACCCTTAAAAGCGCCATCTTCATGGGGGTTCAGGATATTGCGGGTTCGGGTTTTAGCTTGATTGGTGGGAACGTGTCGTTGGAAGAAGGCTTGATGCTTGAGGCTTTGGCGTTTCAGTTTTCGAAACGAGGGTGGGTAAGTCTTCATGAAGCAATAAGCTTTGCAATGCCTACTGTCAGCCTCAGATTGTAAACGCCTGCAGAGTGTGTGTTTCTTTCGAGTTAGCCTCTTAGATTAGAATGCAGCTGGAAGGCCACCCGTTTTGGAGCGTGAGTGAGTGAGTGAGTGAGAGAGACAGAGAGAGAGAGAGAGAGAGAGAGAGAGAGATAGAGAGAGAGAGAGAGAGAGAGAGAGAGAGAGAGAGCGAGCCGCCCCGTGGCAAAAGGACGGGCACCCGCGTTGTCGCGACCCCGAGAAGGGGTTAAGATGCAAAGGGAGCGTAGGGCTCCGAAAACGTCATGGCCCCACGCGCGGCAGAGCAAGCAACAGGCATCACCTGATGGCAAGCCAGCCAGGGTTGGAAAGCACACTTGGCAAGACAGCCCACTTGACAGACCCACAACGGTTCCCGACATGATCTCTCATGAAGGTACCGAGACCGGGAAGCCGGCACGAAGAAAAGACTCTCACACTACTTACCGGAGGCCACCTCCAGCCATGGCCAATGAAAAAGCCCATCTCCTGCGATGTGGCAGTGCTTCACAGTGTGCCCTCCGTGCGAGGAAAGTGTGGCACTGTGACACATCTTGGAGCATATTGGAGCTTGGCACTGAAGCCATATCCCTGAAGACGGAAGTCCTTAAACTCAGGAGCGAAATTAGCTTATAATAGTCATTAATAATCCATGCAAGCACAAATTTTCAAGTAGGATATCCCTACTGCATTGGCTTACGTACTGCACAGAAAGGATTATGAGCTATCGCAACCTGATGGTTTTTGTTTAGGTTTTGGGGGGTCCATAAACCGTAAATTTCGGTTTCTCGAGGTTGACGTTTGCTTAGGTGCACTCCTCTGTGACATGCGATTGCAGAGGATTTGATAATGCCTCTCGCCCGAAGCTCTATGCGCATTTCAACCGTAAACCAACACCCTATAAGCTATAGCCCAGCCCGAATCCTTACAAATTCTGAAGCTTAAAAAGCTGTGTCCGGGGCCCAAAACCCCAAAACGCCCTGAACCCTAAGCAGAGGACTTTGCCTCCGCGGTTCTCGAGTATTGGCTCGAGGGTAAGTCCTTGGAGGAGCCCCAGAGTTTTGGGTTTAGGGTTGTGCGGCTTAGAGCTTTGGGTGTTAGGTTGCATGAGGGTTTAGGGTATAGAGTTCAGGTTTTTTTTGCTTTAGGGTTTAGATTCTACGGTCTAGGGGTGGGGGTTTAGAGTTTAGGGTTCGGGGAGTAAGGATGCTCACCGTATATATAATATTGACTAGTACTCGAGGGCGGCCCTATAGGTCGTTTGCCTGTAAGCCTTTGGGTACACTTGAGTATAATTACCTTGGGCAAAATTACCATCATCCTTCTCGTATGTTTAGCTACAACACATCTTTGGGCTAGGCCCAGGGTTCAGCACCTCAGATGTATGCAGAACGTAGACCTCCGCTGTACAGACCCCCGTCTTGGAGTAAGGGTCTTGGTAGCTTGATCCCTAGTAGGGGCGGGGTGTTCATGAATCAGGCACTTGCATGCTTGTTTGAGGCTCCAACGGCTAAGGTTTGTTTTGGTTTCGTGATGGAGTTCACTCAAAGAGAGCTAGCCCCGAGACGGTCTCCCCTAAACCCTACACCCTCGAGGTTCTTTCATAAAGCTGCATAGCACCATTCCCAAGGTTTAAAGCAATGCTGTCGCAAGTCCCACCAGTCTGAGTGGCTGGGGAGTGTGTATGGGCAGAGAGATGGCTTGAGGGCTTGTTTTTTCTTCCAGTGCAAGGAGGTGTTGGAGAGGGCGAAGCAGCTGGGACAGCTGGAGGACTCACTTAGGGGTAGTTTGGAGTTTGAAGTTCCGAGCTAAGTCAGGGTTCAGGTTTGGCTTTGGGTGAAAGTATGTCGGATTTTGTATGTAGTGCTTTGAAGGTTCGGGGTGTTCTGGGCGCGGGCTCCGGCGTTGCAGTCTGTTGCTGCGGTTGCGTTCTGTATATGGAGGAACCTGTCCTACGCGGTTAGTCTGGGGCCACCGTAGGGACACCCTGCGCCCTGAACTCCAAACCTTGCACCCTGAACTCTAAACCCTAAACTCGAAACCACGAACCGTAAATCCTACCCCCGATCTCACAGAGGATTTCGGGATGAGGAGCGCTCTGGTGAAAGCCTGTGGGTCAGAGTTCACGGTAAGGTTTGGGCTCCAGAGCACTGAGCTCGAAGCGAGTATTATGGTTGTTGCCCCGGCCCATGGAGTGCAGACTTAAAAGCAGCGGGCGTCAAGAAAAGATAAGACTTCGAGAGTGTTCAACCGATGCTGCCATCTGCAATCTCTACCCCCTGAAACCTGGTAAGAACTTCTCGGCAACCGAAGTGCTGAAGACTGCAAGGGCCCCGTACGGCTCATGCCGCCCACTGAGGATCAATGCTTTTTGAGGCTCCCCTTTGGAACTCGGAATCCGAGGTGCAGGCTCTTAAACCCCAAACCCGTAACCCCGATGCAACTGAAGTACATCTGGATCTAGGCCAAACGCCAAAGCCTTGTGGCCCCTCCGCCCCAAGCCCATGAACCCAAAGCCAAACTTTTCCTTGACCCTAACCCCAACAAGCCGCGGATACCTTAAACCGTTTCTCAGGAGTCAACCCTAGAGACCACAAAATCTCCTCAGGAGGATCTCCCTAAACCCTAAACCCTAAACCCTAAACCCTACTCCTCAGGAGGATCTCTTCTTCGGCTGCTTTCTCCAGGGCTCATGGGTCGACTCCTTCGCCTGGTCCGAGGACCTCTGCATGGAGGTGCCGGATCGGCTGCGAGAGCCCAGAGCCCCGAAAGGAACCCTTATAGGCCTCTTAAAGGGGCCCTTGTAGGAACCCTTAAAGGATGTCGTACAGTAGCCCCTGACGGAACTCTGGAAGGATCTTCAAAAAGGTAGGGCTAAGACATAGAAACCTCCAAAATCTAATGACTGATTAGAGCCCAGCAAGGATTCAAGAGAAAGAACCCGCCAACAAATGCTGATCTTAAGCCACATATGAACCGGATGTGTGTTTTGAAAGGGTGGGAGTTCTTGCAGATGCGTGGGATGGCTCCGAAAAGTTAAGCCCTAAACCCTGAACATCCCGAAGATTCAGGAAGACTGTTTCGGAAAACAGGCCGGGGAATTTAGACCCGGTTGGGAAAATGGGAAAGGACGTTTGGGGCTTTAGCGTTTGGGCTTGGTGTTGCTTTTGCCAGCGTCTTGGCAATATGCTTCTTCCGTTAATCGAAGTTGGCGTCTTGTTTTGTTGTTGTGTTTTTCCTGAATCGCTCCTCATTGCGTTCGAAAGTGTTTCCCGCGACTGTCAGCAGCCGCTTCCCAAGGAACCCGAAGCCCTTTTCTTTGAGGGTTATGTTATTTTATGCCCAGACCCAGCTTAAGCCCATCTCGTGCAAACACTGGGATGTATGTATGAAAAAGATAGAAACATCAAGCGACTATACAAATAAGATATGCGCACGTAGTTCACGTAAGTCAGGCCAGAGCGATCCAACAAAAAGCAGAAACACCGCAAACTAACCAACAAAACCAACGAAATCACAGCGCCAGCCCCTAGGCTCGTCTTTGGTTGTTTCATCTGTTCTTGAAAAGAAAAGGCAGCTACAATGAAGCAAAAAGATAACAAATGCAAACCAACAAATGAAACAGCACGAAACAAACCTAAACCAAGTCAGAAAGAAGCAACACCCCAAACAGATAAATACAAGCAAAGTACCTCCCACGGCCACTTGTTCTGATTCGTGTGCGTGTGTGTGTGTGTGTTTTCCCCCGGCGGTCTGGTTTTTGTTTATTTATCTTTTCTTGAAGTACTCTAAATACCCCTAAACCCTACACCTCTAGATCCCAAACCCTAAGAAACCCTACACCCCTAGACCCTAAACCCTAAGAAACCCTACACCCCTAGACCCTAAACCCTAAGTACCCGCTTCATTTCCGTCAGACTCTACGCGGCATGATCAAGAAGATCGAGGGCTCGGAGTCATTCGCTCCTAGGCGGCTTCAGGGGTGTTTACTGTAGGGGCCTTCATAGTTAGAATAGGGTTCCTTTAAAGGGATCCTTAAAAGGGTCAATAAGGGCTCTATCGTAGGGTTCTGTAATGTAGGGGCCTGAATAATTAGAATAGGGTTCCGTTAATGGGGTCTATAAGGATTACTACAACGGTTCTATAATGTAGGGGCCTGAATAATTCGAATAAGGTTCCCTTAAAGGGGACTATAAGGATTGCTATAACGAAGTTCTATAATGTAGGGGCCTGAATAATTCGAATAAGGTTCCCTTAAAGGGGACTATAAGGATTGCTATAACGAAGTTCTATAATGCAGGGGCCTGAATAATTAGAATAGGGTTCCGTTAACGGGGACTATAAGGATTACTATAACGACTCGAAGCTGTAGGGGCCTTAATAAGTAGAATAGGGTTATGGGGCCCGTTATACTATAAGAATTATAATAATTATAATGACTATAATAATGAGGCACCCCCCAAAATAGTATAGGTAGTGCTGCAGGCCCTCTCTTTTTGGGTTCAGTTTTGAACGGCCTGGGAGGTTTAGGGATTTAGGGCTTATGTGGAATGACGGCCTTCTTCGGGTTTGGGGAGATTGCAATTGCGGCTCGAGCAGAAAGAAAACCCATGAAACTTCATCCTAAACGCAGGACCCTGAAATCTAACAGCCCGGCAATCCCCATCATCTAGCCAAGGGCCTTTAAAGATCCTCTTCAACTCCAACTCCAAACCCGAAAGGAAAACACAAACCCTATACCCTCGACCCTAAAACCCGAAACCCCTAAACCCCCTCGATGTGACAGTGGAAGCTCAGAGGTTTTTCACACCCATGCGTCGAACTGCTTCGAGCAGGCTGGGGAAGTCCCTCAAATTTCCTGCATGTCCCGGCTTTGGGGTGTCATATATATATATATATATATGCAGAGTATAGAACTCGCCAACAGAAGCTAGTAAGTTCCATCATGTCACCTACTGTACCACAGAGCATATCGCGGCAGAGCCTAACGTGCGAGTCTTGCCTTCTTGACATGCTTCCGTGATCAGTGAGTTCGCTGCAGTTGTTGCGATACCGGGTTCAGATTCTTTCGGCTTGGGGGTTGAGCGCAACAAGCCGCAGCAAACCTCAGGCAACACTAGAGTAATCAAGTGGGCTTCTGTAAGTCATGGGGGTTTCCGCTCGAGGGCTTATGCTATAGTCTCCTTAGGAATTATTTTGTCATCTTTGTTCATATAAAACCCAAGAGAAAATTGAGCATGTTACTTTTATTATGGTTCTAAGGGGGTATGGTGAGGCTTACAGATAGGGCTTTGGGTTTTGGAGTTTGGGGGTTTCGCTTTCAGAGCGGAGCGGAGAGACGAGCCTCTGTAGATTTTTGGGATCAGGGTTAGGGTTTAAGGTTTTTTTTGGTCTAGGGTTCAGGGTTTAGGGTTTTTTGGTCTAGGGTTTAGGGTTTAAGGTTTTTTGGTCCAGGGTTTAGGGTTTAAGGTTTGCTGGCAAGTCTAGGATTTTGGCATCAGCTCTTCAGGCGTTTACACCAGTCCCTAGGTTGGTAGGTATGCCGTAATATCCCCAACCTTAAATCCTGAAGCCCTAAACCCCTAACCCTAAACGGAAACCTTCAACTCTAAACCCTAACCTCCCAAAAGGAAACCTTCAACTCTGAACCCTAAACCTCAAACCTCGAAAGCCTGCACCCCAAACCCTGACTCTCTCTTTTTGTCTCTGCGCCGGTGGCTCGCGGATGCTTGGGCAGGCCGGTGAGCAGATCCCGGTCGAAGAGCTGCGCCTAGGTCCCAGTTTAGACTGGAGGGTTTCGGTTTAGGAGTGTAGGGTTTAGGGTTTAGAGTTGAAGGTTTCGGTTTAGGAGTTTGGGGTTTAGAGTTGAAGGTTTCGGTTCAGGGATGTGGATGTTTTGGGTTACCAAAGGTTTTGAACTCACCAACAGCCTAGATGTTTAGGATCCCGTTCCATGATATCCTTACAGACTAACGTCCCACAGAAGGTAGGTCTTATGAGGTCCATTTAACTACACGTAAAGGTAACCCTAAACCCCAAACCCAAGAGGTAACCCTAAACCACAAACTGGGATGTTGCAAGCAGTAGGATTCAGGCTCGAGAACCGGAGGAAGGATCAAGGCTCCGAGGGGCTCAGTGCACACGAAAGGCAGGGGATTTTGAACTGGCAGACCCTAGTATGGAGCCCTTATAGACCCCTTTTTAAGGATCCCTTTAAAGGACCCCTATTCTGACTATTGAGGCACCTAGGATTCTGAACTAGCCGCTTTTAGGCAGTTTTAGGTTTCGGGGCGAGGGTTTAGCCGGTTTAGCCGGTTTAGGGCTTCGGGACAAGGCTCAGCCGGCTCCGTGGTTTCGGGATTAGGGTTTAGCCGGTTCAGGGTTTCGGGACTAGGGTTTAGCCGGTTTATCTAGGGTGTCGGACAGGGGTTTGGGGCTGAGCCGGTTTTGGGCATTTAGGGTTTCGGGGCTAGTTTAGGATTATCGGTTTTGGGTTTCGGGACTAGGGTTTAGGGTTTAGCCATTATAGGGCTCTAGGGTCTCGGAACTTGGGTTTAGGGCCTCTCTATCCTTGGAGCCCAACGACCCTATACACAAAAGGCAAGGAGTTGGCTTGTAACCCTACGATCGTATAGTATATAATTGCCACTACTATCTTTGTGGTTCCTGAGGTTCATTCTAGTATCATGGGACCCAAAACCCTATTCTAATTCTCAAGGCCCCTATATTGCAGAAGAGAACCAGACTCCTTTAAGGATCCCTGTAAAGGAACCCTATTCTAACTATCAAGGCCCCTACTTGGAGGAGCATGGGACTTAGTAAGTAAGGTTATAAGTGCCGTAATTGGGGTTATAAGTATAGTTACCCTAATTATAACCCGAGTTACTAAGTCCCACGATCCTTTAAGTATATTATGATGCCATGTATTGCTTTCAGAGGGTTGCTGAGCTAAGGCAGCCCTGGCCAGGGTCGGGCTCCCTGAACACAAGGCCTGGCTTAGCAAACCGGTCGGGTGGCCTTCGGGGTTTCAGGGTTTACAGGATTTGGCGCTTTAAGGGGTTTCGGGTTCAGGCTGTTTGGGTTTTGCGTCTAGGGATTTCAGGTAAAACTTCAGGAGTTTCAGGGTTTCGGCTGCGGGTCTGTGGCTTACTATGTTTCGAGATCTGGTTTGCGTTCAGGATTTCGGCCGTCAGGTAGTTTGCTATTTGAGCGCTTGGTGTCAAGATGCTATGGCATGGCCTGTCTATGATTGCTGCTTGGAGGTTTGGGATGAGGCGGAAAGGGAGCCAGGGAGCCAGCTTCGACGGTTCTTGCGGATGTTGCGCGACCTCCGGGGCTCGATCAGGGCGGTGGCCCCAAATCTTTACAGACATCGAGCCTTAAACCCTACTAAAAGGATCGTGGGACTTAGTAACTCGGGCTATAATTAGGGTAACTATACTTATAACCCCAATTAAGGTACTAATAACCTTACTTACTAAGTCCCATGATCCTCCAGGCAGACCCAAGCATCAGTCCTAAGTCCTCCACCCTAAGCTTCTCTGCCTGGAGGTGGGACTACAGCTTGAAGGGGAGCGAGAGGACTGGACCTCCACCCTCCTGTGGCCAGGGGCCCCAAAGTAGTTCCTTTTTGGTTGTGTCCTTTTTTTTTGGGTTAAGGACTCTAATTTACTACCCAAAAAGGAACTACTTTGGGGCCCCTGGGTAGTAGCACATCCTAAGTTTCATTCTTCCAGCTTGGGGTTTATGGGATCGTTTGAATGCTGAAGATAGAGAGGTCTGGTTCTTAGTCGTATCCCCTTCTGCCCATATAACTTAACTCTATATACTGTGGACGAAGCCCTCCTCTTCGTACTGAGGCTCTCTACTATGTCAGGCTCCTAGGTGTGGGGGCTTGAGGGCTGTGAGGTTGACCTTTTCGCACGCAGAGTACCCCTAAACCCTAAACCCTAAACCCTAAAGGACCTGGCTGTTCGAATCAAGAGTCTGGAAGCCCTGCTTTCAGACCGCGAAGGCACAGCAGGACGTCTCTCATCAACAGCACCCTTTCATCAGCACATGCATGGCCTGAAAGCTTGTGGTGGCAGGGCATCCTGCGACTAGTTTCAGTCACATGTCAGAATTCATTTTAAGAAAGTTCATGTTGCCCGAAGCATCTGTGTCCATGCCCACACCACCACCAATCGCAAAGCCTTCACCCTGTCCAGACCCGACACAACCTGTGCAGCTAGCTATTTAGGCCTCTCCATTTTTGCCGCCCACATAGACGGTCAGTGTGCATAAGTGTTTTAAAACCTTTGGGTTGACATCCGATTGTTATGTTTTGTTCAAGCAAGGGTGTACGGTTAGGCGTACGTTTGAAGGCTGTGGGATTGAGCTAGAGTTGCACAGGGATGTAGAATTCGGGAGCGCGAACGGCTCAGAGCCTACTGCACTAGCAATGGTGATCCTCGGGGTTGCCGATGATAGCTTTCACAGAAATAGATATCCCCAGACCTCGACCCCCTTGCCACTGCTTGCCACTGCCATTTTCGCTGCGAAGTGGTATGCAGGACGGACGTAGATCTCTTAGACGACTACTTTGTGCGAATGCAAGCCATAGTGGAGAAGTCCGACTCGATCAGGCGGGTGGGGGGGGGGGGTTCGGATGCTAGGTTTCAGGGTGTAAGGTTTAAGGTTCATGCAGGGTTTAGGGTTCGGCGTGTAGGGTTTAAGGTTTAAGGTTCATGCAGGGTTTAGGGTTCAGGGTTTAGGGTTTAAGGTTTAAGGTTCATGCAGGGTTTGGGGGTCATCGTTTAGGGTTTGAGGTTTATTGAGTGTAATCCAAGCCACAAAACCTCCAAGCCACCTCAAGCCTGAAACCCCTGAGCCAAACCCAATTTGGGGCCTTGACCCTAAACCCTAAACCTTGAGGCTTGTGGGCGTTCCGGGACTCAAGGTTTCAACGTTCTGCGATTTCGAACCCAGGGTTCGAATTTGGAGTTCTCCGAACCCAGAGTTCGAATATAGAATTCACCGAACTCCGAATCCAGAGTTCGAATGGAGAGTTTTCCGAACCTAGAGTTGGAAAAAAGAGTTCTTCGAACCTAGAGTTCGAACATAGGGGAACTCTCTATTCGAACTCCGGGTTTGGAGAATTCTATATTCGAACTCCGGGTTCCAAGAACTCCAAATTCGAAGAGTTAGTTTCCCGAACCCGCAGTTCGAATCTTCATGCAAGAAGCACAGAGATGGTCGATTCGCCACTGCTGGTGTGCACGGAAAGCAGTTGGCACCAAGTGGAAACTTCGTGGCGGTCGTATACATGTTGGTTGAAAGTGTTGGGTTGTGGAGAAAATGACAAGACGGAAGGCGTCTGTGAGCCCATTGCCAGCCCCCTTCGGCCATGAACGCCTCTTTTTCTTCGTTTTTAATCCCCCCAAACCGATTTAGGCGCTTCAGGCTTTTTCGGATTCAGAGTCTTCGAGCGTTAGGACATTTTTGGGGATATGGTTTTTGGGTTGTTTCTTTTTTCAGGTTGTCTTATGGGGTTGAACAACTTCAAAATGCAGGAAGGTAGGGCTGTAGGATTTCGGATTTAGGGCCTTGCTTGCCGATGCTATGGTTTCGATTTCGGTAAGTTCTAGCAACATCTTGTTGCGATATCTCCCTGAAAAAAAGCAAACATATGCTGCCTAGCCACAACAATCTGCTCTTCTCCGTAAGCCTAAACGCTAAAACCCAAGCCCCGAAGCCCATCTGTTTGGTATGCCTATAGCAACCTCCGATCGAAGTCATCCACTCCATTTCGCTCCTCCCCCATATGCCCAAGAAGCTCTCTGAGTCTAGGGGCGTAACAATTAGAGTATGTGTTTGCTCAGGGGTACATATACATGTACATCTGCATATGCATACATATATATATATATATACATAAATAAACATACATACATATATATATATATAGAGAGAGAGAGAGGACTGTAATAAATCACGGAATCCTAAGGAATAGACGGATTAATCCAATATGTTGAAGGTCCTTCTGTCACGCACGGTCTCTCAGCACTCCGCGAAGAGGCTTATCTTCGGGGCTTAGGTATAAGTAGGATTCAATCGAGCCCAAACAGGTTGAACAAGATGTTGCAACTTGGCAGAACTAGTATCAAGTTGGGTTTTAGTTTTTCAGGTGTAAAGGGTCTCGGGATTGCGATTCAGGGATTAGTGTGCAGAGGTTCTTTGTTAGGCTAAACTGGGCTTCTGCTTATGCCGTTGAGGCTTTCTTGGCCGTCGTGCTAAACATTAACCAAAATATGGAACGTCGAAGGACTCTACACGGTTTAGGCTTTGGCAGTTCAAGGTATGCTAAGATGTAAGGCATAGTCAGTCAGTGAATACCATGTCAATTTTCTAACCATGCACCACCCTTCGGCACCCAAACCCTAACAACCTATCCCTCAACCCTCAACTCGCCAAAAGACCCATAGCAAGACCCCTAGGATGGAACCGCCAGTAGACCCATAGGAAGACCCACGTAGAAAAAAACCAACCTCCACCCCAGAGACCAATACCCCAATAGAAGAACCATACTACCCAGCCCGACATCCGTAACCCTAGAAAATGGAAATGATATGGCACTCTATACGAATGCGACTATCAGAAAATGTTATTGATAGTATTTATGGCTTCGCTTATCGGTGACAAACATGCGATAGGACGATGCACAAAGAGGAAGCAGTAGAGGAACGAATAAGTCATTTTTATAAGATGTTGATAATCTAATTTCAGACTGGAACGCATATTCCCGATGTATGATTCAGCCAAGCATGTGATTCCAAATATAACTATGAAGAGATACAGCTCGTTTTAAGAAACTGTTTAATGAAATGATGTGTTGTAGAGATAAAGAAGAAACAAAAACATTGATACTTGCAAAGAAATACAATGTAAATGCAACAACGAATGATTGTAACAAACTTGTTAGAGCACTATTGAACAAACCTAGTTTTGACTTATTGGATCAAACAACCATACATTCGTACTAGGATAATGTTATGTGTGTAAAATGTAGCTGGAGGCTACCTTATTCCTCAACCTTATTCCTGTTATCGTACTCGAGAATGCCATTTCCATTTTCTAGGGTAAGGGATTTCGGGTTGGGGACTATGTTTTTTCTGTGGGGGTATCGGTCTATGGAGTTTAGGTTGTGTTTTTTTCTATGTGGCGGTGTATGGTTCGTCTGGTGGTTCCATATTGCAGGTCTCAGGTTGGCTTTTTTGGTGAGTTGAGGGTTGAGACATAGGTTGTTATGGTTTGGGTGCCAAAGGGTGGTGCATGGTTTGAAAATGGAAATGGTATTTACTGACTTAACCAAGGGTGGCGTAAGGAAGTGACACTCATGGCTTCGTTTCTCTGCCACCCAACAGGAGGCAGTCTACCAAATAGCAGAACGGGACCGGACCATAATAGAGAAGAGCCCTCTCATGTCCTCGTACAGGACATACTCTGTAGGGCAGAGGGTTTGGCCGTAAGGGCTCGCTCAGGTATCTGATCTGGAAGATGCCGCACTACGTGACGTCCTACCATCAGGATACACATGTCCCGCCGCACTTCACTGTCTACAATCAGGTACCGAGTCTGCCAAAGAGCGCAGTCTTAATCCCCCAAACCCCGAACTCCTGAACCCTTATGCTTTAAACTGCTCCGGATCCCTGAGGGATCTTTCTTCCAAGGTAAAGGAGCCACAATGAGAGCGAGTTAGGTTGTCTTGTTCTTGGCCATTCTCAGACAATGGCTTAGCTCGTGTTTTGCTTAGGGCCTCTGGGATTTAAAGTTCAGAATATTTATGCTTGGATTGCTGGATTTCCCCGCGCCAACACCGTATATCCCTATGTGGCATGGACCTTTAGGGTCTATTTGGCAATCCGGCTCTGTTTAGGGCTTAGAAGGAGTCAACTAAAACGACGACGACGATGACGAAGACCATGTACAACGAACTTCTTCCCAGCGACCGCCATATGCCTGGTGTGGTGCGAAACCTCCCAAATCTACGTGTGCTGTTGCTAGCAGGTGCTGGTGCTGTTGTTTCTCTCGTCTCTGCCCTCTCTCCTTCCTTTGATTGATCCTTCTTCTCGTTCATGTTCTTTTCGCCTTCGCCTTTCAATGACAAGGGTAACGTGAGGGAAGGGCAAAGGGGCGACGTCAGTTCTTCTCGACGTGTTTCCCTCTTTTCCTTTCCTGTCAGGTGGTCTCTTTCTGGCTTCTGTCTCTCTCTCGCTTTCTCGCTCTCGCTCTCTTCCCCTCTGCCATGTCTTGGGTTCTCATATCTCCCATCTCCTTTTTCCTTACTCCTTTTTGCGAAGCTGAAGGAAGGAATAGAAAACAGCAACGAAGAGATAAGATGACGGAAGATGGTTGGGAGAAGAACGGTGGATTCCTGCCTCGCTCGGCTCTCTCTTACGTTCTTTTCCCTTCCTTTCTTCCTCTTCTCTTCCTATTCTTCTTCATAAGGAAGGAGAAATGGAAGGGACGAGTGATTCAGGACAAGCAAGAGGCACTCTTTCTCATCATCTCCTTCTTCCTCGTTTGCATTGTTCTGCACATCTCCCTCTGTCTCTCTCTGCTTCCCTCCCTTTCTCCCTGCCTCCCTCTCTCCCTTCCTCCTTCTCTACTTCTGCACGTTCCCTTCTCCGCCTCTCTTTCCGCCTATTATGTTTGCTTTGACTTTTATCTTTATTTTCTCCCACCCTCTATGTCCTGTCCCTTCTTTTCCTCTATTCATTCTCCTCCTCCCTTTCCTGCCTCCGGTCCTTGTCCTTCTATCACTCAGAAGGAAAAAGGACGGTTCGCAAGGAAGAAAACAAGGGAGTAAGAAAAAAGACAAAAGAAACGGAAAGCGAATCCGGGAATGACAGAAGAAGGACGAGAGCCATGAGGAAGGAAGGACAGAAACACAAGGGAAAGTAAGAGAGAAAGATAATCGGATAGAGAGAGAGAGAGAGAGAGAGAGAGAGGAGGGGAAAGAGAGGAGGCCATTCTCACCGTCTCATTTCATTGGTGATAAGCCAGGAAGAACTTGTGTAGGAAGACAACAGACAAGTGTTCTCCTTTTGGCTCACCTTGTGCCCTTTCTCTCCCACTGCTCGTCCGCTCTCCCATCTGTCCTATCTTTGATTCTGTCGTCTTGCGGAAAGGTAGGAACCTGGAAGAAGAGAGGAGAAGGGAAAGAGACAGCAATGAGAAATGACTGAAAGAAAAGAGATACAGAGAGAGAGAGAGAGCTTCAAGCCTAGCAGAGGAAAAGAGAAAGACATGAAGATAAGAGAGGGGGGAAGGGGCGGTCAGAAGAAATATAAGCCAAAGCTACGTAATGAAAGGGAGGAAACCCCTTTCTCCTCTGCCCTTCCTCTGTTATTCAACTATTCTTCTCCTAGCGCAAGCGGATGAGCGAAAGTAAAAGAGAGAGCGGGCGAAATCACCTGCTTCGTCCCTTCTACCTCTTCCGCTCATTCTTCTGATGCTTATTCATATCAGAAGGGTGTGGAACGGAGGGAAGGGTAGGGCATGGACCGAGGCGAGGGAAGAGCTGCTGTATCTCAAGTGACTCCGCACTGCAGTGTCCGAAATAGCCACAGGATGGCTCCGACATCAGGTAGCCGTAAGGTTATCCTTTTTCTTTCTATCTTCAGCAAGAACGAAGACCAAACGAAGAGAGGCTCTCTCTTCCGGTTGCTTTCTCAGTTTTTCTCTGCTGTTCTGTCCGTTGCTGTGGCTCCCTCCCTCTCTCCTTCTGTGATATCTTTTTCTTTCCGCTTCTACCCTTTCATTCCCTGCCCTCCTATTGTTAAGAATGATTCATGTTCCTCTTCAAGGAAACCTCCTTCGGGGGGCTTCTAGACAGGATCTCCAGAGAGGAGTTCCATAGGGGAAGAGAGAAAAGCAACGAAAGCTCTTTCCGCCCCGTGCTCATGAATACCAGAACACATGAAAAGAAGGCAGCGAGATGTAGAGAGGTAGAGTGTAGAGTGTACAGAGAAGGAGCAAGGACAACTACTCCCTGTCTTTACGTCGTTTCCTTTTGGAATGACAAATGAAAGACAAGGAGGGGAAGGAGGAAAGGGAGGAAAGAAGAGCAGACAACCGAAAGGATGAGATAAGATGGAGTAAGATTGAGGAGGGAAGAAAGGTGAATTCCCCCCTCGCTCGGCTCTCTCACTTTCTCTTCCCTTTGCTGTCTCCTCTGCTCTTTCTAGCCTTCTTCATAAGGAAAGGGTCAGGGAATGATTCACGGCAAGGGCCACTCTTTCTCATCATCTCCTTCTCCTCATTTTCATGTTCTCTCCATCTGCCTCTTTCTTTCATGAGGGTAAAGGAAGAGGCGGGGGAGCTCCCCTCTCTCTCTCTGCTTTCCTCCATCCCGCCCTCGCTTCCTCCCTGCCTCCCTCCCTCCCCTCCCCCTTCTCTACTCCTGCACATCCTTTTCCGCTTCTCTTTCCGCCGATTGATATCTATCTTTATTTTTCTCACACCCTCTATGTCCTTTCGCTTCCTTTATTCTTTCTCCCTCTGTCACGCAGAAGGAAGAAGGACGGTTCACAAGGGAGAAGACAAAGAAGAAAGAGAAAACACAACAGAAAGGGAGAGCGAGGTCGAGAAGGGCAGAGGGAGAACGACAGAAGGTAAGAGAGAAACATAATCAAAGACAGCGTGGAAACAAAGAGGAGACGTTCTCCTCTTCACTCACCTTATGTCCTTCCTCTCCCACCGCTCGTCCGTTCTCCTTTCTTTGATTTTCTTCTGGCGGAAAGGTAGGAACCATGAAGGAGAGAGAAAGGAAAACGGAGAAATAGACTGAGCAGCGAAGGGACAGGACCGGAATGATAAATGACAGAAAGAGCAGAGAGAGAGAGAGAGAGAGACAGAGAGAGAGAGATAGAGCTTCCCTGTAAAGGAAGAAGAGTAAGAAGAGAGAGAGAGAGAGAGAGAGAGAGAGATGAAGGTAAACAAAAAAGGGGAAGGGGTGGAAGTGTTGCAGGCTACAGGGTGGAAGGCGGTCAATGGCTGGAGGGTGGGGGGCCCGAGTGACAAATTGCTCTGCCATTGGTTCGGAGGTGAGGGCTGGCTGGGGAGCCTGGCCGGGCTGAGTGGGTTGGGTGAGTGAGTGGGGAGATGGGTGGGGAGGTAGAGGGCCGCTGCTGTTCCTAAGCCCGCGCCCTGTGAGGATCCACTCCTCTCGGGCGTGGACGCCTTCATGGCTCGCGTCGACGAGGGGTCTGGCGGCCCTGCTGCCGGCGCCGGCCCGAGGAGGTGGGAAGAGGGAGGTAAAAGCAGGTAGGGGCGGAGGGCGGAGGGAGAGTGAGATGGGGGAAGGGGTACGGGTGAAAAGGGGGGGGAAGAGGAGGGAGTGGGGAGATGGGTGGAGAGGTAGAGGGAGTGGAGGGTGGCTGCGTTCTTTGGATTCTATAGGAATCTATAAGGGTTTTCTGTAAGGGCTCCATATGAGGGATCTACAGAGGGCTTCTATGTGGTTTCTGTACAGAGGGCCTATAGATTTCCAAAAGGAGTATACAAAGATTGTTTATGAGGGCTCCATATAATGGATCTTTCACACTTCTCTATATAGGGCTCCATTTGTGGATATATAAGGGTTTCCTACAAGTTCTCTAATTTGAGGATCTGTAAGGTTTATATATCAATAAAGCTTTTCTATATGGGCTCTATAGACCCCAGAAGACGATGAAGGTGATAAGACGATGATCAGAAGATGAGTCGATGGGAGAAAAAGTGATGGGAGGTGAGGAGACATGAGATGGGAAGGGAAGGAAGGAGTTAGGAGTAGGGGAGGTAGGAGGCAAGTGAGAGGGAGAGGGTGGATCTTTTACAAACACATTTAGGGGGACGCTCCTTGCGATGTGTGATTTTTGGATCTGAGTTCTTACAAAACCTTAGAGGGACACCCCGTGCGATTTGTGATTCTGGAAATTATTAGTTGTATAAACCTGTAAAGGGACACCCCTTGCGATTTATGATGGGCTCTGAGTTCTTACAAAACCTTGCGATTTGTGATTTTGGGATCTGACTTCTTGCAAAACCTTAGGCCTTAGGGGAACCCCCCTTCCGATTTGTGATACTTGTATTGAAATTAATCGCTACAAAAACCTTTACTGTAGGTGGACACTCCTTGGGATCTGTGGTGTTGGGGTCTGAGTTTTCACAAAACCTTCGGGGGACACCCCTTGCGATCCGTCATTTTTGGATCTGAGTTCTTACAAAACCTTAGGGGGACACCCCTTGCGATTTGTGACTTCAGAACTTACTTGTCATGAAAACCTTTGGGGGGACACCCCTTGCAATCTGTGGTTTCGGGATCTGAGTTTTCTCAAAACCTTAGGGGGACACCCCTTGCGATCTGTGATTATTGGATCTGATTTCTTACAAAACCTTAGGGGGACACCCCTTGCGATTTGTGATTTTAGAATTTACTTGTCATGAAAACCTTTAGGGGGACACCCCTTGCGATCTGTGGTTTTGGGATCTGGGTTTTCACAAAACCTTAGGGGGACGCCCTTTGCGATCTGTGGTTTTGGATTCTGAGTTCTTACAAAACCTTAGGGTGACATTTTTTGCAATACATCATTTAGGAATCTGAGTTTTTACAAAACGCAAGGAGGACGCCCCTTGCGATTTGTGGTTTGGGGATCTGAATGTATTTTTAGGGGGGGGCGGAGTAGGGTAGAATGATGGAGGGGGAAGGGATGGGAAGGAAGCACAAAAGAGGAGAAGGAAGGGGTTTTGAGGGGAGTCAGGGGAAGAAGGAGGGAAGGGAGGGGGAGGGGCGGTGGAGATCCCAGATTCAAAGGGAGGGGAAGAGGAGGGAGGTAGTGGAAGTGGGGAGAGGGGGTGGGAAGGCAGACCTAAGCATTTGTAAGAACTCAGATACCAAAATCACAGATCGCAAGCGGTGTCCCCCTAAAGGTTTTTACAACAAATAAGTTCGACAATCACAAATCGCAAGGGGTGTCCCCCTAAGGTTTTGTACAGATCGCAGGGGGTGTCCCCCTAAGGTTTTGTGAAAATTCAGATCCCGAAACCACAGATTGCAAGGGGTGTCCTTGTAAGGTTTTGTAAAAACTCAGATCCCGAAAACACAGATCGCAAGGGGTGTCCCCCTAAGGGTTTTTGCATAAAACAGATCCCAAAATCACAGATCGCAAGGGGTGTCCCCGGAAGGTCTTTTGTAGACCCTGATCCCACAAACACAGACCCCCTGCCATCTCATCCTTATCATCCCTGTCATCCCTATCATCCTTATCATCTGTATCATCCTTATCATCCTTTACCTATGGGAAAGCACACAAGAGAGGATTGGACCACAGTTTGATTAAATTTTGCCTGCCAAACTTTCGTCCTATCCTTTCGTGTTGTTACGTATGGGGAAACACAACCGAGAGGATTGGCTCCCAAAATTTGGTCCTATCCTTTTGTTATGTTACCTATGGGGAAACACAGCCGAGAGGATTGGACCAAATTTTGCCTGCTAAAATTTGGTCCTATCCTTTTGTTATGTTACCTATGGGGAAGCACAACCGAGAGGATTGGACCAAATTTTGCTGCTAAAATTTGGTCCTATCCTTTCGTGTTGTTACGTATGGGGAAACACAACCGAGAGGATTGGCTCCCAAAATTTGGTCCTATCCTTTTGTTATGTTACCGATGGGGAAACGCAGCCGAGAGGATTGGACCAAATTTTGCCCGCTAAAATTTGGTCCTATCCTTTTGTTATGTTACCTATGGGGAAGCACAACCGAGAGGATTGGACCAAATTTTTCTTGCTGAAATTTGGTCCTATTCTTTCGTATTGTTACGTATGGGGAAACACAACCGAGAGGATTGGCTCCCAAAATTTGGTCCTATCCTTTTGTTATGTTACCCATGGGGAAGCGCAGCCGAGAGGATTGGACCAAATTTTGCCCGCTAAAATTTGGTCCTATCCTTTTGTTATGTTACCTATGGGGAAGCACAACCGAGAGGATTGGACCAAATTTTGCCTGCTGAAATTTGGTCCTATCCTTTCGTGTTGTTACGTATGGGGAAACACAACCGAGAGGATTGGCTCCCAAAATTTGGTCCTATCCTTTTGTTATGTTACCTATGGGGAAACACAGCCGAGAGGATTGGACCAAATTTTGCCTGCCAAAATTTGGTCCTATCCTTTTGTTATGTTATCTATGGGGAAGCACAACCGAGAGGATTGGACCAAATTTTGCTGCTAAAATTTGGTCCTATCCTTTCGAGTTGTAAAATTTGGTCCTATCCTTTCGTGTTGTAAAATTTGGTCCTATCCTTTCGTGTTGTTACGTATGGGGAAACACAACCGAGAGGATTGGCTCCCAACAGTTGGTCCTATCCTTTTGTTATGTTTCCTATGGGGAAGCACAGCCGAGAGGATTGGCTCCCAACAGTTGGTCCTATCCTTTTGTTATGTTACCTATGGGGAAGCACAACCGAGAGGATTGGACCAAATTTTGCCTGCTGAAATTTGGTCCTATCCTTTCGTGTTGTTACGTATGGGGAAGCACAACCGAGAGGATTGGCTCCCAAAATTTGGTCCGATCCTTTTGTTATGTTACCTATGGGGCAGCACAACCGAGAGGATTTAATTGGCGGACCAATTAATTGTTGAGGGTTTTTAAAATATTACTTGCCCAAAAATCTTTAAAATCCTTAAAAATTTAAATGGGCCAAGGTTTTGGCTTTGGAAAAGCTAGCAAACCATTAAATTTTTAAAAATCTCTAAGATCTTTAAAATTTAATTGGCGGACCAATTAATTTTTAAGGATTTTTACAATCTTAATGGCCTTAAATTCTTGAAAATCCTTAAAATTTAAATGGGCCAAGGTTTGGGCTTTGGAAAAGTTAGCAAACCATTAAATTTTTAAAAATCTTTAAAATCTATTAAATTTAATTGGCGGACCAAATAATTTTTAAGGATTTTAAAAATTTTAATGGCATTAAAATCCTTAAAATTTAAATGGGCCAAGGTTTGGGCTGTGGAAAAGTTAGCAAAGCATTAAATTTTTAAAAAATTTTAAAATCTTTTAAATTTAATTGGCGGACCAATTAATTTTTAAGGGTTTTTAAAATTTTAATGGCCTTAAAATCTTTAAAATCCTTAAAATTTAAATGGGCCAAGGTTTGGGCGTTGGAAAAGTTAGCAAACCATTAAATTTTTAAAAATCTTTAAAATCTTTAAAATTTAATTTGCGGACCAATTAATTTTTAAAGATTTTTAAAATTTTAATGGCCTTAAAATCTTTAAAATCCTTAAAATTTAAATGGGCCAAGATTTGGGCTTTGGAAAAGTTAGCAAACCATTAAACTTTAAAAAATTTTTAAAATCTTTAAAATTTAATTGGCCTGCCAATTAATTTTTGAGGGTTTTTAAAATTTTAATGGCCTTAAAATCTTTAAAATCCTTAAAATTTAATTGGGCGGCCAATTAAATTTTAAAGATTTTAAAGATTTTTAAAAATTTAATGGTTTGCTAACTTTTCCAAAGCCCAAACCTCGGCCCAATTAAATTTTAAGGATTTTAAAGATTTTAAGGCCATTAAAATTTTAAAAATATTTAAAAATTAATTGGCCGGCCAATTAAATTTTAAAGATTTTAAAGATTTTTAAAAATTTAATGGTTTGCAAACTTTTCCAAAGCCCAAACCTGGGCCCATTTAAATTTTAAGGATTTTAAAGATTTTAAGGCCATTAAAATTTTAAAAATCCTTAAAAATTAATTGGCCGGCCAATTAAATTTTAAAGATTTTAATGCCATTAAATTTTTAAAAATCCTTAAAAATTAATTGGCCGGCCAATTAAATTTTAAAGATTTTAAAGATTTTTAAAAATTTAATGCTTTGCTAACTTTTCCAAAGCCCAAACCTTGGCCCATTTAAATTTTAAGGATTTTAGTGCCATTAAAATTTTTAAAATCCTTAAAAATTAATTGGTCCGCCAATTAAATTTAATAGATTTTAAAGATTTTTAAAAATTTAATGGTTTGCAAACTTTTCCAAAGCCCAAACCTCGGCCCATTTAAATTTTAAGGATTTTAAAGATTTTAAGGCCATTAAAATTTTAAAAATCTTTAAAAATTAATTGGCCGGCCAATTAAATTTTAAAGATTGCAGGGTCATTAAAATTTTAAAAATCCTTAAAAAATAATTGGCCGGCCAATTAAATTTTAAAGATTTTAGAAGCCATTCAAATATTGAAAACCTTTAAAACTTGAAAGGCTAGATATTCGAATACGGATCTCTGTGGCAAAGAATTATAACAACGAAGCCGAATGCCAAATAGAACATAAAGGTCCTACGTACATATCCCTATATCAGGACGAGTTGGAGTCAGAGCCCCTCAAGCAGCTCAAGCAAGGAAGCAGACAACGACATCTATCTGACTCCATCTGGTGTCTGAAGTGCTGTGAACCTGAAACCTTGAACGTCACAAGTGCTAACTCCTCGAGCCCCAACCCTTCATCTACACCTGAACTCTTCGTGTCTTACTGCTCAGCATCGCAAATCTGTTTCTAGCAGATTCTGGAACGCAGTTCGAAGTGTCAGCTGGGTCGCAGTCTATCAAGCCCAAGCCTTCAAGTTAATCGGCTAAGTCTGCTAAGCCTTTGGACATGCGTTACAAGCTGCAGCAATAACAGCTTGAGAGGTCTCCGGGGCAAGCATTTTTCACTTCCTGCCACCTCTGGTTGGCTGCTACGTCACGCATGTCGGGCGGAGGGACGTCTCTGCGCTGAAGGAGGCGGGTTTAGGGGTTTGGGGTTTAGGGTTTACTTGGGGGTCGCTATAAGTGGGGTTATAAGTCCCCTCATATGGGTTACAATTATAGTTACCCTACTTATGACTCCACTTGTAACTGCCCATGAACCTCCAAGGAGGGTCTCCTCTTGACTGATGGGGTCCCAAGGGTCCAGGCTTGCGGTGTTTCGAGTTTTTGGGCTGCAGGGGTGTCATCCCTAAGGGATCTTTCTTCCCAGTAGATCTCCGGGTAGCCTGACGACGGCCTCATGGAGATGCCAACTTCCAGGCAAGGGACCTTGATATAGTCCTTTTGTGGCAGTTTCAGAAAGGAAGGGCCCGAAAACCTGACATAGGGGCCTTCACAATTAGAATCGAGTTTGGGGTTCCCTAATATAGTTATAGTATAAAACGCGCCCCCAAACCTTATGATGGTTATTGAGGCCCCTACATATCCCCCATGTCTGACCTCAACCCAAACAGGGCTTCGAGGCTTCAGAAATGTCGTTCACGAAGCTGTTTGCCGCAGCTGATTCGGGCTTCGAGGAGCTCTATCTAGACTCCCCAAGTACCTTCTATCAAAGCTTAAATTTCCAATAAGGCAGTAAGGGGTGTGGCTCGGGTTTAGGATTGGGATCAGGGCGGGATCCCAGCTGTCGCTTCAGTCAGAACTGCTGCACACCTTTCTGCCTTGCTTCTTGTTTCCTCGACCCTGAAAAGTTCACACGAGCCTCTTACTTACCTTTGGTTAGTAAGGAATGGAAGAATGGTAGCAATAGTATACTTATAATTGCACCTCATTCCTCCATTTCCTACTAACTAAAGGTAAGCTTATCCAACCCTCGTAGAAGGCAGCCGAAAGGTGCTGAGCCTATGGGGATCTAGTAGGGACTAGGGTTCCCATAATAGGGTTCATATTGAGGAATCCCTACCCCAAGAAGGTGCTGGAGACGCTGGATGCAATGCAGTTGGGCTCACTGGCGGTGCTCGGTCCCGGCCAGGCCAGGACACCGGGCAGCAGCGGCTTCGGGGTTTTGGGTTTGGGATTCCCTTATAGCACCCGAACCCTAAACCCTAAACCCCAAACCCCTAAACCCTAAACCCTAAATCCTAGACCCTAAACCCCAAACCCTAACCCCTAAACCCTAAACCCTACAAGGACAAAGGAGCCCGAAAAGGGTGGGTGTTTTGGGCTTTTGGGTTGCGCCTTTTGGGGCCCTAAGCCTTAAACCCCAAAACCCTAAGCCTTGGGTGGTTTAGGGTTTCGAGTTCTGTGGGAGGAGAGGAAAAGAGGCGAGAGAGAGAGAGAGAGAGAGATAGAATATATATATATATATATATATATATATTTATATTTATTTATTTATTCATTATTTATTTGTTTATTCACATATATATATATATATATGTAAACGTACATACATACATATACAGTGATAGGGAGATATCCAGAGATAGAGGGAGAAGCAGCAGCGAGTGAGAGAGCGAGAAAGAGAAACCAAAAACCCTCAACTCCCTCTGGTGCTGTGGTTTTGTGTTGGCTGGCTCTGTGTACTATAGGGGCCTTAATAATTACCTATACTCTTTTGGGGGTTCCTAGTATAGTTATAGTATAAAGGACCCCCCAAACCCTACTCTAGCTATTAAGGCCCCTATATTATGTGTGGTCGCTGCGCCACCTTGTCCAGGAATTTGTTGGAATTACATCACTAAGGAAGATAGTAAATGATGGGTTTCCTGGTTATGGTAACTTAAATGAGGGTCGTTTACAGGAACCCAGCTAAGCATTGTATATTCCAGCATGCAGGATGCATTCTATCCAGATTTTGGTTCTAAGCGTTCTACGGATTGCAATGTTGGGTACTGTTCTTCGTTTAAGACCCACGACTTTCTTAGAATAGCAACCTAGATTGACGCCTTGTTCGGGGACACTGTTTACTTGACATTTGCCGTGACCAGTTTGATCCTCCCGCAAGGTCTTACTCGTGTCAAAGGGGAACAGGAGGAACCCTTAGTGGGGACCCCTACCCTATAATGGGCTATATAATGATTAGATCATAGCTAATTAAGGTTATATACCTAGGGGTCCTTATTAAGGGTCCCTCCTTTTACCCTTGGATAGTGTGCACATTGACGCCTGTTGCATATTGCCATGCTTCTGGTGTTGCTATCCATTGGCTACCGCAACGGCTTGACTTACATTTTGCCGCCTGTGAACTACTAGCAAATCTCAGTAGCTGAGTGGATACACCTTACACTTCTTGGATACTATTATCCACTCTAAGACGAAATTTGTACACTTTTGCGGGCTTATGACCTCAGCAACTAAGACATGTGTCCAATTGTCTCTTTGACCCTAGGTTCAACCAGGCTCAACCTTAAACTGTAGATGCTCAACCTGAATTTCAGGTTGAGCACTGTTCATTGTTGTTTACTGTGTTCTTGGTGTGGGGGGGATTGTCAGGATATTGAGTCTAGACACATGGTAATATGCATCTCCAGAAATTCTTGCCATGCGTCATGCAGGCATACCGAAGTAAAGCTCAACTGTATGCTTGTGCTACACCTCAAGAACTGCTTCTAGTCACTCAAGCCAGATTACATGATGGAACCTACTTGTATCTGTGAGCCTACATCGCCATGCCGGCGCATTTTGAAAGCTGCCCCCCGAAGAAGCTCGTAAAGTCCTGTACTCCCTTCACCGAATTATAGACGGCTCAAGACTTTTGCAACTCCGAACTGCTAGGCCCCTACCCGAGAATGTTGTTTTTCACGGTTTAGGGTTTAAGGCTCTGCTGATGCAGGTGAGGGTTCTGTTGATTTCGCATCTTTCGCGGTCGTCTTTGCATGCTGAAGAAATCGCTCCCACAGTGCTGGCTGTAACACCTCAAGCTGGACCTGTTTTGGGTTCTTGTTCAGGAAGTGAAGATTCCAGTTACCATAATAAAGAAGCCATGAAGGCTGTTACGGAATTCTTAATTTAAGTTAGCATAGTAAAGAAGCCATTTTTATTTGCCATAGATCCCTATTATGATAATGTGAATAAGTTGCTCAAGATGAACCCAGTGTTGGGCAGATGCTTCGTAAGCATCCCGACATCGCCCTGCGACCTAAAACCCAAAACCCGAAGCCAGAATCCCACCATCCCATGCTTCACTCACTTTTCCTCCTAAAACCTAGAATATGGCATATGGAGTGGTACCAAAATTGGGGGGGGAGTCGTTGCAATAAGGATCCTACTTTTTGGTGTACTATAAATAGGGTCCCCTATTTTCGGAAACTCCATATCCCTAGATCTCAAACCCCAAGCCCTAAACCCCACACCTTCAATGTTGATGTCTAGAGCCCATGACACCCCAGTTCTCAATTCCCCCAAGAGGTTGCTCTAAACCCCTCAACACATAAACCCTAAACCCTGCAATGGACATTAACAAAACACACTTAAGCCCTAAACCTTATAAGCCCTAAACCCTAAACCCCCGTAAGCCCTAAACCCTAAACCCGCCCTGAACCCTAAACCATAAGCCTGCATTCCCCAAGAGGTAGCTTTGATCAGCCCCTTCGGTTCCCACGGCGTGTGGGTACCCTCCCAGGCGCTAAACAGTCTACCGATCTTCCGTTAGGGATTTCAGGTTTAAAGGACTTGTATAGGGCTGAAAGGTTTAAGGGTATAGGGTTTGTGTTTAGGGTATAGGGTTCAGGGTGTAGGGTTTAAGCGATAAGGGTCTCGCCTGTCTAGATTTGGTTCTGCTGCGTTCTCCTAACGGCTTAGAGCTTACGGCTCAAGAATTCCGACTTGGGGTTTAGGTATTGAAGTTTCTTGGAATTCGGGATTTGGTTTAACGGTTCTTGGAGCTTGGAGTTGTTGGTTCTTGGTTCAGGGCTTGGAAAGGTTGTGAAGAGGGTTGAGGAGGTTAGGATGCCGGTTGGGCTTGGTTTGAGAGCTACACAGATTGAGTTGAGGTTTCAGGGGTTTGAACCTTGGGCTTCGGGAGTTCGGGTTCAGAGTGAAGAGATATTGGGGGATGACAGGTTGGTAGTAGTGGATAGTCTAAAATACCAAAACCTACTTCTTTGTAGGCTCTTGTTATGAACCCTAATGGCAAGTGGTCTTGTCTCCTTGAGCTAGGATTTAGTGTTTAGGGTTCTTGAGCTAGACAGCTGCTCCCGTCCTGGAAGAGATTGTGTTGCGAAAGCCGGACAACGGTGTGCGATGGTTAGGTCATATTCATAATGTGGCGATCCTACCACACCTGATCTTTGCTCTGAGCTATTCAGGCCTACAACGAGAAGCTGCCATGCTTCTCTGTCTCGGCTATCCGTGCCGTGGAGCTCTTCATGCGGGAGCAGCTGAGGGTAGCGCCACTTGAGTCAACAGCCCCCAACCCCAGACTCTAACCCGGCAGGCCCGGTGTACCCTGTCCTGGGTATGGGAGCTTTGAGCTTCCACAGGACATGCTTAACATGAACCCTAAACCCCAACCCAACCCGGTGCTTGGACAGTTTAGGTGATATGATGATATGTGTTTGATTTTGCGGTTTAAGGGTTCTTATGGGTCTGACCAAGTGCCCTCTAACCGCAAACCCCTCATTCACCCCCCCCACCCCCCACTTCTGCAAGCAAACCTTCCAAGATCTAACTTCGAAACAGTAGACCCCCCGTTTCACGACAGCTCAGAATTATGAACACCCCAAGATCTTAAACTCCCAAGCACCCAGGCCACAAAATCTCGCCGGACATTTAGGCTCGTCTGAAGCAACCAAAAGTCCCTTGTCCAAGCGGACGAAGAGGACGGCCCGTTTTCTCTTTCCTAGTCTAGTTTCTCAAAACTCGTCCTGGTTTCTGAAGTCCCCGCACTCAACTTGTAAAACCCTCGTTCTACCTGTTATGAAATACCCTATGAAGCCCTTGTAAGCCCCCATAAACCATAGAAACCGCCAGTCCCATCCCTAAGCCCGATCGATCCCCCTAAACCCTAAACCCAAGGGAACTCCAGAAAGTTGGAATATGGACTAATGGTAGGATCCCCTATAATTTACCATAAAGGGGTTACGATAATGATATTCCAACTTTCCGGCTTCTACTGTAAACCCTTAGCCCAATCGACCCCCAAAGGCACTAAAGGGAATTCCAGAAAGTTGGAATATGGATTAATGGCAGGATCCCCTATAATTTACCATAAAGGGGTTGCGATAATGATATTCCAACTTTCCGGCTTCTACTGTAAACCCTTAGCCCAATCGACCCCCAAAGGCACTAAAGGGAATTCCAGAAAGTTGGAATATGGATTAATGGCAGGATCCCCTATAATTTACCATAAAGGGGTTGCGATAATGATATTCCAACTTTCCGGCTTCTACTGTAAACCCTTAGCCCAATCGACCCCCAAAAGCACTAAAGGGAATTCCAGAAAGTTGGAATATGGATTAATGGCAGGATCCCCTATAATTTACCATAAAGGGGTTGCGATAATGATATTCCAACTTTCCGGCTTCTACTGTAAACCCTTAGCCCAATCGACCCCCAAAGGCACTAAAGGGAATTCCAGAAAGTTGGAATATGGATTAATGGCAGGATCCCCTATAATTTACCATAAAGGGGTTGCGATAATGATATTCCAACTTTCCGGCTTCTACTGTAAACCCTTAGCCCAATCGACCCCCAAAGGCACTATGTAAACCCTTAGCCCAATCGACCCCCAAAAGCACTAGCTTCAGGAACTGGGAATTGAAGCTCCCGACCTGGAACCAGGTCTGGCCAGCGGGGCCCTCAGCGAAGGCTCCAAGGGGTTTGGTTTTGGGGGGATCTTGAAGCTACTTTCTTGTCAGGGGAGGGGTGGCCAGGGTTTGAATTTGGGGCGTTTGATGTTTTTTGTCTGTGTTTTGAGTTGAGCTCGGGCGCTTCGAGATGCAAGGCTCAGCCTCTGGAAGTGGAGGGCTTGGCGGTTTGGGGCTTTAGGTCTTGCAAGGCTTATTAAGATACTGTATCAGTATAAATACTCATAGCCCGAATGCAGGGTACTTATAACCCGTATTACTAAGTCTCGCGATCCTCCGAGTGGGTCTACCCACCGAGAGAGCTCGAAATACACTCGATACCGAAAGCTTTCCAAGCCCGGATCATTTACTACCGGCCCCCTTATGAGGGTTACTGTAGGGGCCTTCAGAATTTGAATAGGGCGTCGGGCCCTGTTATAGTATACCTATGGTAAGTAACCCAAACGAACAATATTAGTATGTATTCAGCCCTCTATATTACTTGCATGAACAGCGGGACTTTTCCTGGATTTCGGAGTTTCACAACAACTGTGGATCTACATTTTACGTGGCGCCATTTTTGATTCAGGGCGTCGGAGGTCACGAGTTGCCGACGGCCGTTTGTCTTTCCATTCCACCCCTCGCGTGACATGAGCAATGGGGGCCTGGAAGACTGCCAATACTATACTCCAGGATGCCTTCTGTACTTCTCATACTAACTACCAAAACTCTGTGAAGGCTTCGAAATCCTCCAACCCTTACTGCTTCGTCTTCTGCTTTTCGTGGGTGTGTGATCATAACAAAGGCGCCTTAACAAATGGGAGAAAAGAAAGGGTTCCTTTGAGGGTCAGGGTTCCAACGTATAAGGGGCCTCAAAGAACCAAAACGGGCTTGAGCTGCTCGCCCAGGAGAACGAGGAGGACCCGTGCTAGTATTCCGAGAAATGTGTGTGATGTTTTGAACGTGTTTTGCAGAGTGGTCGCCTTAATCCTATAATCCTTACACCCTACAGGAACTCAAAACCTGTACATACCTATGCCCGACACCCCACACAAACCGTGACTAACCCGTAAAGATCAGAGCTACAAAAAGAGCCCAAAGCCCTGCTGAAAGTAACCACCGTACATTTAGAAAAGGTAGATGCGCCATCTCAGGGGTCACATCCGCTTCTTAACGGTAGATTGGTTAGTCTAGTTACTAGTACGGTAAACCCAACCTGGATCCTGCTGAAGTGGCCTTCCGATCGAGACGCCTTGGAGCGCTTCGGGGTTTTAGCAGTTTAGAACGGTTCTCGTGGGGTTTGTGCGGGTTCCGTGTGATTCCATATGGGTGGTTGTCAAAATTAGGGTCCCATTTTTTGCCCCTAATAGAACACAGCGCCTATTATTTAGGGTACCCCAAGAAAGGCCATAGTTTTGACAACTACCCATATAATTGTATACGCTGCCTCATGCCGGTTCAGAAATAGCAGGGACCACGCATATCTTCCAGTCACCGCCCAAGCATGCTGCAATGCTCTTACTTGTGATAGAACTCTTCTTGCAGGCAGAGAATCATGGTCAGTTGAACAGTGATTTTGGAGCATGGCCTGTGGCTATAGAGGCGCCTAATATAGGGGCCTTAATAATCACCTGTACTATTTGGGGGGGGTTCCTTGTTATAACTATAGTATAATGGGCCCCAAACCCAATTCTAACTGTTAAGGTCCCTATGTTGGAGGAATGAATAAGTTTTGGTACCTCGACAACAAACAATCCAACAGAATCCAGCCTCAGGGTGTAGCCAGCAACCATGTGAGGACGAAGCTGATATGGCCGTCCCTTGGCATTTCAATGCTTGCAGCGTTCTGCGAGCCTTGATTGGTTATCAGCTCCCAGCATAAGTAGTAGGATTTCAAACATAAATGCCGCCGGCTGCGAAGCGTTAATTTTCAGATAGCCCCCGGAGCAAGGACACAAGCGCACATGGTTCAGAAAACCTTGTAGCCGTAAGCGCAGGTGCAGGGCCCAATAAGACGAAGAATGTAGGGTTCGGAGGAAGGGATCGGGGAAGAGGCCGGGGGGCAAGAAGTTTGCAGAGTCCGTCTTTACAAGGCAAAATATGTTTTCTTTGGAGGTGTCTGTGGGGACTTAACCGGGGGGAGGGGATTCAGAAGAGGGGAAAGAGGGGAGAATTATGTGTTGGTGGTCACAGGTCCTTCGACTTCCCAACAAATGTAACGAACGCCCTTACTCAGGCTTGTGTATTGTCTACGGCCTAGCACTTCAACCCGCGATTTGAGTACATGTTTCTCATGCTTTAGGCCCGGCTTTGTGGCTTAGGCTGGTGGGGTCTGGGGTTGCAAAGCCTGGGGACAGTTAAGTTCAGCAGTCGCCAAGTGCAATTCTCTGTATGGAAAGCTTGAGCTAGTTCAACTTCTGCTGAGGCTTACCGGCAGGCGCAGGAAGCCCTGTGCCGTCAGCAGAACCTTACACAGAAGGACCTGAGTCTCCACTCAATACGCCCATGGTTGCATTGTTGGTTCCCAAAACTCTACATCAGATTCCAGAAGCAACTTAGATCTAAAGCCGAGATTGCTGTAAACCTTGTTTGGGCCCCAGATCTCAAACCCAACAGCGTCTGAATCCCAAACCTTCGACCCACACCTAAACACGTAAGCCCTAAACCCAACCCTAAATCCAAAACACAACCCTAAACTGTTTATCTTTATTCGTGAGAGGTGGGGGAGTGACGGTTCAGATTCAGGGTCGTCTTGCGTTTCAGTTTACAGTAAACCCCATAAAGTTGGAAACCGGATTAAGGCCAAATAGTGCTGAAATTCCCTATGCATTCTTAAGGATTGAGGCTATTAGGTTTCCAACTTTTGAGCTTCTACTGTATAGGGATTGGGGTTTGGGGTCTTAAGTGTTCCAGGCAAAACCAATTTGTCTGGTAGCTGCAACGATGCAACTGGGGAAGAAAGACAAGATTCCAACAAGAACTGTAGCACTGTAGTCCTTACAGGTTTCGTTGCTGGAACACAGCATAGTATAGCATTATAAATCTCGAATCTTAGTTGAAAGGCCCCTGTATTCGGGATCAAAGTATAGTCTAACAGCTATTTCGATGTTTGTTTATCTTGAAGGCCCCTGTTTTAGATTTAGGGATCAAAGTTCTTGTGCCCAGGTGTCCTTAACTTGTTCACACGCCGGAGCCCATCCTCAACTCAACATCTGGTACCCAGATTGGTGATGGTCGCCCCCTATACTTCCAGGTACTTATATCATATTTGTATCATCTCATATATACCAAAACCCTGGACGAGGCTGGGAGGAATTCCTAATAGCAACCCTTACAGGCAACTCACCTAGTGATGAGGCCCAATCTGGACCTCTAGGCTTTGACTGAATTTTGCCTCGGGCCCTAAGTTCTAAACTTTTTGTAAACCATGAACCCTGAACCCTCGAGTTCGGTGTTTGCAGAATGCATGGTTTCATAGGAGGCCAAGAGGGGTTTTAGCCTATAGGGGCTAGCAGGGATTAGGGTTCCCATAATAGGGTTCATATCAAGGAATCCCTACCCCAGGAATCTTAACCCCCCCTTTTGGCCTCCCATCAGAAGAGGACTGGCAGTGGCTAACCAGGAAGCACCTGAAGGAGCTGCCTCTCGGATTGGCAATTCCCAAATGGTCCTTTGTACTTTTCTGGGGGGTACTTCCCTAAGTCCTAATAGCAATTCCTGACCTGATATGGAAACCCTACATTGTGCTATATCGGTACATAGGACCCTTTGGGATTGGCACGGTTTAGGGTTTATAAGGTTTTAGGGATTTAGGGTTCAGGGCACTAGGGTTGAGGGTTGAGGGTTAGGTTCTTAGATCATGTGCCGTTTAGGTGATTAGGGTTTCTTTGTCAGCTATTCGGGTCTGGGATGGGAGGGTGGGTCTGGTGAGTCTTGGTGGGTGTGAGGGACTTATGTCAGGCTTCAAGTCACGGTTTAGGGTTTAAGGTTTAGGGTTTAGGGAGGAATCAACTTTCGTTCATTTGCGCCTGCTGTGGGTTGGATCCTGGGGCTTCGGTCGCAGCGTTTCGGCATCTAGGTTCAGGGCGCAGAGCTCATTACGTCTGCCGGGGTGCGAGACTCGCCCCGACTGCCTACGAGCTTGGCCTAGAAAGCTTGACTTATAAAATACCCACACCTCCGCTAAACCCTCGCCCAAGGAAGCGACCAAGACGCCTCGACTGAGCTCAAAGATCAGCTCGCTGGGCAACGCTGAGATGGGAGAAACAACAGGGATTCGACATCCAGTCTTCAGGTTGTAGCGTGCGAGCTCGAATCGAGATTCTTGATAAGTTGGTCTCATTACGTATACCTCAGCGCCAATCAGTACCACCGCGGTGAAACAGTCCCCCGAACCATGGTTTACCATGTGCTGAGGCCCAGTTGAGCATTCATAGTTTGGTGCCAGGTTTTGTTGTCAGAGTGGCACTAAGGTACCCTGCAGAATGCTAGGATGTAGGGTTTGGTTCGACATTTCGCTCTCATGAGCCATGGATGATTTGGGCATGCATGCGGGGAAGAGCTTGTTTCAGTAGTTGAAAGCTACCATGATAGGGGCCTTAGGCAAGTATAGCTTTGTTTCCTTTGTGATTGAAACTTCAAGCTTCCGCAGCCCTAAAGTAAAAGCCAGAAAGTTGGAATATGATTATCCTAAACCCTTTATGGTAAATTATAGGGTATCCTACCCTGAAACCATATTCCAACTTTCTGGAGTTCCCTTTAGACCCTGAACCCCGTTGAGCCAGGTATCGTCGACCCAGAGGGCTCGTATTCTGACGACTGCCTGGCGTGTTTGGCCCAGCTTTAGGTTTAGGGTTTAGGGGTTTAGGGTTTAGGATTTAGGGTTTAGGGTTTAGGGTTTAGGATGTAAGATTTTTAGCAGGTGACTCCGTTTCTGAACTCCGCTCCCAAAGCTGCAGCAACTTCAGCAACGCCCTATGTGTCCAAGTATCGAACAACCACCTTGACTTACCTGGTCAAGGACATGTTTCGGTTACCCATAATCACGAACCCTGAAAGGGCATGGTTTTTTGGTGTTAAGGTAAGAAACTTGGGCTTAGCAAAATTTCGGGGGAGTATGATATGGTTGTCAGGACTCACGCCATAAGAAGCAACGATTACAGTGGGAATCCCCGGAACCCTAGACCCCACACGTCGCTTTTCCGGAAGTTTCACGCATTTGCGTTTGGCTGAAAGAGTGCGAGGAATCAGATCTGAAGTCTGGCAGTGGCTAGGGTTTAAGTTTTCGGGCCCTAAGGTTTAGGGTTTAGGGCCCTAGGGTGTAAGGTTTCGGGCCCTAGGGTGTAGGGTTAAGGGCAATGGCAGACCAGACCGGTGGCTCGTCGGAGCCGGTCACTGCCGAGGGTGGTGGAAGCTGCGGGTGGCCTGAGTTGTTACATGTTGCTACGGGCACAAGCAACATGCCAGTGAAAGTATCAAGATGTGTCCACAGTACCCCAAACGAAACTGCCATTTGTGTTTCGTTGTTGTAACGACCTAGGAAAAGTGTGGGATCGAGAATGGCATCCAGCCACGAAAATCCCAACCGTCATAATCTCAATCTGCTGGCTGGCAACAGCGATTGCGCTGCGCACACAGGTTTGCAAACTTTTGCCATGAACGCCGAGTCGTAGAACCCTTCCCCTTCTACCATGTGGCTCTTGTACCAATCTCGCGCCTGCCAGTCGAGCGAAGCTGGCTTTCGCCGAAAGATTGCATGAGGACACGGATGTGAGGGGTTTGCCACAGGATCCCTGGCTTTTCTGAAGAGAAGTAGACATGGGGGACAGCCCTCCGAGGCCCTCATAACTCCCCGGTTCTTTAGTCGGGCATGGGGAATGGATCCGCATGATAGTCCCTTAAGGTCTCTTATAGTAGTCCCTGCAGCCCATTTCCCGACTCCCTACAAAGAACCAGGGAGATAATCCGCTAGTTCTACATTCCTAGGCTATAGTCCGGCTTCGAACTTCGAGGCTCTATCTTTGCTCCTTCGGTTCCGAAACATACGGAGTCGTCCTACCGCAAAGCAGCGTGGTTGCCATGCTCCACACCCTAAACTCCTAAACCCTGAAACCCTCAACCCTAAACCCCTATAACCCTAAACCCTGAAACCCTTTACCCGTAAGCCCCAAAACCTCAGCCACCACAGCCGGTCACAGTTGGCAGAAGAGGGGAGTTGGGATTCGGGGCACCATTATCGCAGATTATAGGCGTAGTAACGATAGTGAACCAAGGTTCATTAGTTATAGTTCACGAATTCTAGTAGTTTGTAGTTAATGAATCATTGAGTTATAGTACACTATAGTCATAGTTCATAAAGTGTAATTAGTATATGATTCAGATGACTTGACTTCATCACGAAACTCCTTCGCAGAGTCGAGCCTGTATATACTTCGTCTTGAAGGCAAGTGTCCATGCCTAGGTGGGCCCCTGCGCTGTTATCCAGCAGTTGCCATGATATTCTCGTGCTGTGAGGATAGGGTTCCTGCTGCCTAAGCCCCAACCCTCAAACCGTAAGCCGCAAACCAGCCTGATATAAGAGTATCCAGCTACCCGTCCTTTGCTGCAATATGACGATCTGCTGCGATCCAGCAGAATAAGTCAAGAATCTGCAAGTCCTTTAGGATTTGCGGTCTAGCGTTTAGGGTTGTATAAGGACTCCCCGTACAAAGATCCCAAACCCTCATCCTTTTCGCCGTTCCAGCGCAGGAGTTTTCCATTTGGTGGCGCGAAGGAAAGGCCCGCCCTCACGCACCGAAACAACAAAACCCACTACTTTCAGGAGTTACTGTATAGGGCATCGGTCTGAGGAACTAGACTTAGGGATGTTCAGGGTTTTGTAAC